CTATGTACGCTTAAATATTTAAAACTACGCAACGGATTTTGATGCGGTTTGTTATAGATAGTGATTAAAGAGGAAGGTTTATATGCAAACGAGTGGGATTACCTGATGGTAAGCAATCAGCGCCGCCTATGGACACCCTCAACAAGAGTTACGAGTGCGTTGCCGACCTTTTAAGGATTAGGATTTTGGTGATTTAGGGGTTGGGGAGAGGAAGGATTAGGCCTCCAGTAACCTCACTCAGACAGCGAAACCCAACGCTGGGGTCCTTTGCTAGTTGATTATAAAATTAATTTGTTATCAAAATGCAATTCTGCAACCATGAATAAACAACAGAATAACTATTTTATCTCTTCGATAGAATACTATATTTATCTTAAATATTTAAGATTGGAATCTAATCAGACGAATCATATGCATCTTTAGATTTTCCTTATAACTTAGTATATCTACGCATATTTTCACGCATAATCTCACGTTTCGTATCCTATGCCTACAAAAGTATGTAGAAAACAGTCTTTTACCAATTATAAGTAAAAAGGTGTAGATAGGTTACAAGCGCTCATTAAAATGTGGCTAACTAGCCACACTTTTTATATTTGTCTCTTTCACTCATGCCATCCCACTTTAACGTGTACCACACGTGTTTAACGTGTTTTTGAAAATCGAATGTTGCATGCCACAGTAACGTGAGATGTCTAAAAAAATAATTATAGCGATAATTAAACAATGAAAAATATACCTTAAATCACTTGTTTAGTGATCAAACTCAGAATACAGACTGTATTCTGAGTGGTCAAATTATACTTACGAATATGGTTCAGTATCGCGTGGCTCAAGCATAAGAGTCTGAGCCCCGGTTTCCGAAAGGCCGATTAATGTTAAAAACAATTTAATCTCTTGTCAAGTCATCTGATTGGTTGACTGAATTATCAACAACCAATCAGAAGACTTGACAAGAGATTTAACAGAACATTACTTAATTTAAGCGTTGACAGGCCTTTTCAGAAACCGGGTGTGACTACCCTTCTCGCCCCTCGCGGTGGAAGAATTCTTAGATGACTATGTAGCTCAAAAAAGAGCAAGAAGCATTTCTGGTGTGATCCACGAATTGTTGTGGGTATAACTGTTATATGAACTTGAGGGTATTTTTATAGACGCATTCACGGTACATCGGAAAATACCAGTGTAAAGACAGGAGTCTTCATAATAGAGTTCCGTATTAATTTCTTTAAAGTGTGGGAGATCCTTGCTTCAGCACGAATGGATCGGCTCGACCGGAGTGATACCACGGCCTCACAGAAAATCGGCGTGAAACAACCACAGTGTTGTTGTGTCCAATCCCTAACCGTTTCGCAATACCTTCCCAATTCTTAAATATCCAAAACCCTAGAAACCCTAAAAGGCCGGCAACGCGCTCGTAACGCCTTTGGTGTTGCGGGTGTCCATTCCGATCTACCCCATAAAAAAACCTTTTAGGTTCAAAGCTCTTAAACTTGTATAAACCCGTACATAACTTTGACTAAAATTTAAATAATATTTGCGTATATTACTTATTATATAAGAGAATGCTAACGATGACTGCCTAATATGAAATTTAAATTATCTGATTTTCATAAACAACTTTTTACATCTATTTTTAGAGGTAGGTAGCTAATCGGACATCTATATATATAAAAGAAAGTCGTGTCAGTTACTTCACTTATAACTCAAGAACGGCTGAACCAATTTGGCTGAAAAATAGTAGGGAGGTAGCTAAGAACTGTGAGAAGGACATAGGATAAAGTTGGTAGTGTAGGTTAGGTAGAGTAGGGTAGGTTGTCAAATGACGGGAACGACGCCGCGGGTAAGAGCTAGTTCTTAATAAACGATAACAGGTGGCTTTAACTTAACTAGTTAAACATAACAAAACGCCTTTAATGACCTGAAGGTGTCAGGAGGATTTCTTCTTCCCTCCCCCATCTCTGCCCAATACTTAAATCCCCAAAACCCTTTTAATTATCTCCAAAATACCGGCAACGAGCTTTCAATTTGTCTGGTGTTGTGACCATCATTGGGCCAATAGCTTCATCAGGTAAAGGGACTTTACTGCTCGTTGGCCGTCGTATCCACATAAATAACGAATAGAATCTCCGCAGCACTACTAAAACTAAGACTTACACTTTTTTTTGTCAGCGGAAAATCATTAAAATGAATTCTCCCGCCCAAGGTAAGGCGAAAGAGTGTCAGACTCTTACTGACTAAAAACCCCCCCGTTCCTTCTCCTGGCCTGGGCCGAGGCCGCGGTGACTTATTGCGCACAACCGGCTGAAAATCAGCCCTATAGGGCCCCGTCTGTGGTGGTCTATTGGCTCTTTGAGACGCGCGCGGAACGCTACGCGCCGTACGCTCGGGTCTGGTTCTGGTAGGGCGAGCTACCCTTACTCGCCGTCGACACACCCACGCTTACGGTGGCCGGAGATCATATCTCGAATCTCGCCCCACACGCCCCGATGATTTCCCTCCTCAAAAAAAAGTTACCTCACGATGTTTTCCTTCACCGCATGCCAGTGGCTCCACTCAGAAAACATAGCTATGATTTTATTTTAATCTATGATTTCATTACGACATAATAGTATTTCATTGTAAAAGATAGTTGGGCAGTCGATACTAATATGTAACATCATTATTACCGATAAAGCCACGTGGATCTATCAATAAAATATTTAGAAACCTGTTTCGTTACATTATTTGTTTTGGATGGGTCGTCAAATGACTTCTTCTCCTGTCAGGTTGGGGCGAGAAAGAGTTTCAGACTTTTACTGTATACCAACCAACCCGCAACCCCGAGCGAAGCAATCATGAAAGAAGAATGAAGATTGAAATATAAAACGAATTAATTAATATTATTTAGGGCTGATTTTTCAATGGTTAGACAATAGACCTGGGGAATAATTATGACGCTGTCGCGTCAGAATGTTTGTAAAAGACAGTGACAGCAACAATTTTATTCCTCAGATAACATTTATCTGACTATTGAAAAATCAGCCCTTAGAATATCATAACACAGACAACAATTACCGAATTAACATTTATCTAATACTAGCAGTCGCCCGCGGCTCCGCCCACGTGGATGTCGATTTTACACTTATTCAAGATTTTTTTTATTTTCTCTACGTACAATCCTTTTCTGGACAACCACAAATAATTAAAAATAGCTAAATCGGCAAAGGCATTATTGAGTTATAACAATACAACGAAAGTTCGAATTGATTTTTATATATTTAGATCTAATATTTTTTAAATATCGAACTATTCTTTTCGATATCTCTCCACAAAAAAATGCCAGCAAGGCAAGATCTCTCTATTTTGAATTCCTGTATTAAAAAAAAAACATAATAAAATGACGAAAAATTTCTTACATGTCTGCTTACCTCTTCCAAGAATAATATGTATGTATACCTCAATTATTTTACCATTTATATATTATGTATAATATAATCTTCACTATTGAATACATACCTACTTTATTGCATAATAAACTTTCTTTTCTATCAAAACTTGTTTTTTTAATAAAGCAATAAATATAAATAATTCAACTTTCATTAAAAACTTTAAGATAATTTGAAGATGACAAAGTTATGTAATAAATCAATTGAGGAATAATAATCCACACTAATATTATAAAGAGGTAAAATTTGTAAGTTTGTATGTAGGGGGGGTAATCTTTGGAACCGCTGGTCAGAGTTCCAGAATTCTTTCACTGATAGGTAGCTACAATGTTCCTGATTGCTATAGGCTATAAAACATAATGCTATGACTATATGGAGCCGAGCAGCGGGTGAAACCGCGCGAGAGTAGCTAGTAGGTTATAAATTATACTTGATTTGCATATTTTAATCAAGCTATTGGTTTAAACACTGCTCTGTCTTTAAAATCCCGCTATACATTAAGTTTATATGAGTGTGAAGCTGTGTGCAGAAGATATTTATTAATAAATGTATATAAACAATATTGTAGATAGCTCTTGTCCATGACTTTGTATACAATCCATATATGTATATAAAGGCTAAAGCGTATGATTTTTGAATGGGTTAATCTCAGGAACTACTGTTTGTAATTGAAAAGTTGTTTTGGTGTTTGATAGTTCATTTAACAAGTACCAACAGAGCAGGAGAAGGAACAGAGAGAAGTCATTTGATGACCCCTTAGCTTGGCTTGAAACTAGTTAAGTTTTTGGTTAAAGGTTGCTTCAGAAATATGTCAAAGTCATTTATTCCAGCTAAACCATAAATAGGTGCTTTTGAAACATCAAAAATTAATATTAGTCTGTCAGTCAGTTTGTCAGCGAAGCTAGGTGAAAAACAGAAAACTTAATTTGATTATTTCTCACATAAATTATTTTTCTAACAACTTTATTCAAGAAAAAACATATGATAATATAACAAGTGAATACTAGACTATGTATTCACTGGACTGCAACACAATTCATTAATTTACCAATAAAACATAATATATGTTGAAGAAAAATTAGTTATTAAATTTGATACAAACATGAATCAAATTAATCAACACATAACAAATCAATTTTCTTCAAATCAAGAGTATTTAACTTTTGATTTATTTATGTTTTACGTTGATTTACTACGCACACATTCAAAAGTCTATATTATTGTATCTTTTAGACATGCTATATTGGTTTTTAACCTCTGAGGGGGTAAGTAGAGAAGTGCTAAAGACAATATCTGACCCGTTATGTTAAATTTCTATGTGATAGGAATTGTATATGAATTTTTTTTGTTTTTATTGGTGTATAATGCTCATTTAAAAGCCATAATTTCTTTACTAGTATCAAGAATACGATTTTAAACTTTATGTTAATATATTTAGGTTCAATATCATTCTTTAGGGTGGTTTTAAAGTATTTATATTAAATTAAACACTAAGCAAACAGGATACAGGTAAATCCTATAAGGAAAATTATGTTTACAAAATTCTGAAATTCATTAAGAGTAAAAAAAAATTAATTTTGTCAAATTAAATTTGGAACGAAATAAATAACGTTGATCCTATCTTATGATGGATTTTTCATCTGTTCGAATATGATTCAAATTAGAATGTGACCCACCCATCCAAACTGACCTAACCATTGCTAGCTTAACCTTTTAAAACCATTTCAATAATAGTTCTTGTCCAACATATACTAATCTTTTAAAATATAACATAAAATGACCATTCTAAGCACATTTCACACTTAAATTCAGACTAAACAAAAACCAGTTTTACAATTCTTAGAACGAAATCTTTCCTTAGGCGGTACAGCACGAATCTTTGGGAAATAATCGAAAGAAATGTAACAAAACAATAGGACCATTAAAAAACATAGAATTTCGGTGAATTATACTTTCACCGGTTACCAAATTTGATTGTTATCTTCAAATTCGTTAATGTGTATGCAACAAAAAAACGACCAATTTTTTTGACATTTTTTATAGTATTTCTAACATAACTTTAGACTTACCTGAATTAATTACGCGCGAACGGACGTCAGCAATACTATGAAATCACTTAAACAACCTGAATTACGATAAGGTTTTGATAAAAGTAAATATTGTTACAATCTTTGTTACGAGGGTCCGCGATTGTAGGCACACAATATGGTCACCGCGACACAGTTGCTCATGTGATATTTACAGCTGATGTGTAAAAAATGAACAAACAAACACGCACGCAACACAATTTGAGCAATATACACTACGAAATCGAGAGTTCGTTTTAATATTGTTATTCGATCGGTTGGCAATCGTCACGAAATTCTTTTGAATTGATTGATTTGGTTATTCCATTCATATTGGAATAGTTCATTCGAGAGTGCTTTTGCTTTTGAATGAATGACGCACAGGTAATATAAATTTTAAGAACGAATGCATGTTGGTGTTTTTCAATCAATCTTATTTCTATTTGCGTTATTCTTGCAATTTTTATTTATTTCATGTGATTGCCTTGATAAGATCAATGATTTGCATACGTTATTAGAATATACAAAATGGTATATCAGCAGTAAAATTTTGACTTTTGTAACACTATCGTCTTCTATCTCCCTTACCCATGTAATTATAGAACAGGATAGCAAAACGGAAGTACTATGCTCAACAACTAGCCCTAGTTATAAATAATGTTGTTCTATTGACATTTGTAAACCAGTTTGTTTACGTTTAGTAATAAATAATAGAGTTTTCTTTAATTTATTGTTAATGTTAAGCAAAAATTGTTCTCACCGCTTAGTGTTAGATGATTAATATTGAAATCAAACTCATCGTGACTATTAAGACGAAATAAATAAAAAACATAACCTAAAAAAATGGACGAACCAAAGGATAAACAGAACGCAGAAGATAAAATTGTTTTTAAAAAGCCTGTACTCTTCGGCCGTATTGGTAAACTGCCGAAAAAGGTGAAGAATGAAGCGGAAGAGCCGACAGACAGTGATAATCAACAACAGGAGAACAGTGGTTCGAAAGTATCTCGATCGAATGAGAGAGGGAAGGAATCGCCTGTGATAGTTGCCAATGATGTGCTATCCATGCCAATACCTTATAAGGAACCAAAATGGTCTGGAATTTGCCCTGACGGTAAGTATTTATTGACTAATACCATCAGAATTACAAGATCCTGGTGACTGTTTTGGAGGGCTGGCACATGAAAACAACAAAGAAGATCAAAATCTTAACTATTTATAATAATTACATAATTATACGATACTTAAATCTTGTTCATGCACTAGGCACCAGTGGAACAGATTCATTCTCCGTTCTATAGTTGTATTCCTAAATAACTTTTAAAAACAACTAAACTGATTTGAAAAATTCTTTGGAAAGCTTCCGTTTTGAGAGAGCAATATTCGTTATTCCGCTATATCCTCAAATCCTTGACCGGCAAGAGGCTGGCAATGTACTTTGTATTGTCTATGGGTGTACCATTTTTTTACCATCAGATGGACAATAGTTATCCACCATATCTCATAAAAAATAAATACAAATGGTCCACTGTGCAATATACATAAATATATATTATATATACCTACATTTGCTTTTCACATCCACCCACCAACATTACATTTGTAGATTCTACATGCCCAGCCAACGTTGCGGGCCCAAAATGACTAGGTACCACTGTCTCCGCCTAGAGCAGAAGAAGGAACAGGAAGTTTATAGTTGGTAGCAGTTGACAGCCTCTTTTACTCTTGATTATTTTGCCCACAAAAATAAAGAGTCTATATGCCATTGCCAACCAATATTAGTGGACGTCCATATCCTGCAGTAGACATCTTGTAGCTAATGTTATAATGATGTGTTTTACAGGTACAGAGTATTCTCTGGAGGTGTTGAAATCCGGAATGATTGTGGACAAGATGGATTTGACGAAGAGGGCATACTACGTGTTTGGACGGTTGAATAATTGTGATGTGATGATGGCACACCCAACTATATCCAGGTAGGTGCTATGCAGATATATGTTTGGATTCTGGGTATGTAATTTATTTCAATAAGACCATTTATAAGGTACTTTTTAACGTAAAAGAATCAACCTCTTCTTGCGCAATAATTTGTGTGCAGCATGCTGCACATTCATTTCCTGCATAATATATGCTTGTAAAAAAATTGGTTATGTTATATATAAAAATGGATCGTAAAATGTGTTGGTAAGCACATAACTCAACAACGCCTGGACCAATTTTGCTAAATCTTTTTTTGTTGTGTTTGTTATTGTCAGGAGAAGGTTTTTCTAAGAAAATATTAGAAAAGTAGAGGGGCAGATTAGGAAAAAGTGACCCTTTGATAGCAAGATAGTTGGACCCGTGCGAAGCGGGGGCAAGCCGCTAGTTTCAATATAAAAAAAGATACTCCACTTGATGATTTTCCATACAAATTTACATACACTTTGGAATGATCGCATAGCTTCACTGATGAACAGACTTACAGACTATTTTTTATATTTTGACATTGTAAAAATACCTCTTTAAGGTTTAGTTGGAAGAAATGATTTTGACTTTGATGTTATAGATTAAGGGCTGATTTTTTTAATGGTAAGATAAAAGTTACCTGGGGAATAATTATGATGCTGTCGCGTCAGAATGTTTGTATAAGACAGTGACAGCAACATTTTTATTCCTTAGATAACATTTATCTGGCTATTGAAAAATCAACCCTAAGGAAAACAACCGACATTCCACAGATACCACTGCGTTCTCCAATATAAAGCGTTCGCTGAGGATGGGGAGCCACCCTGCGGATGGTATCTCTACGACCTGGGCAGTACACATGGCACCTTCCTCAATAAAGACCGAGTGAAGGTCAGCCATTACACAAGGGTCAGGGTCGGACATCAAATCAAGTTTGGGAATAGCACTCGGACTTACATATTGTTGGTAAGCCAACCTTTATTATAATTTTTTTTATGTAGTAGGACGACAAACGAGCTTACGGATTGCCTGATGGTAAGCAATCGGCGCCGCCCATGGACACCCGCAACACCAAAGGAGTTGTTATGAGTGCGTTGCCGGCTTCTCAGGGACAAGGGTTTCGGATATTTACGGATTGAGAAGGGATGAGGGGACGGAGAAGGAATGGGGCTCTGGTCTGGTCTCACACGGCGAAACACAACGCTGGCTTAACACTAATTGGTCGAGGCAGCCTAGTTACTACGCCGGGGTTGCGGGTTAAGCGCAATGAGTCACCGCGGCCGCGGCCCAGAGCAGGAGAGAAAGTGTGGGAGAGCCATGCTTCGGCACGAATGGGTCGGCTCGGCCGGAGTGATACCACGGCCTCACAGAAAACCGGCGTGAAACACAGCGTTGTGTTTCGCCGTGTGAGTGAGGTTACCGGAGGCCCAATCCTTCCCCTCCCTCAATCCCTAAATCTCCAAATCCCTAATCCCTTAAAGGTCGGCAACGCACTCGTAACTCCTCCGTTGCGGGTGTCCATGGGCGGCGCTGATTGCTTACCATCAGGTAATCCGTCTGCTCGTTTACCGACCTATTACATTAAAAAAAAGGAGAAGGAACGGGAGTTTTTAGTTAGTGAGAGTCTGACACTCTCTCTCGCCTAATTTTAATTTCTTTAAGTAGTGGCTTCGGCCTAAAGCAGGAGAAAGAACGGGGTGAAATTTTGTCAGTAGAAGTCATTTGATGTATATCCTCAAAGAAAAAACTCATTATAAAAGTATTTTTATTTGTATGTCTTTACCAATCACGGGACCACAGGGTCCCGGTCATTTGGAAGGCGTACGAGGGGCCGGAGCTAACTGCGCAGAGGCCCTTTAGACAACTTTAATCTAAATGAAATGGGACACAAACCGGCGACTATCCCTGTATGCACTATGGAAATGCACCCAAGGACAGTCCCCGGTTAGTGTAGGACTATTAAATCTTGTCGCATGTTTCAGGGTCCAGATTTCGATGCTGAAGGCGAGTCCGAGTTAAGTGTAACGGAAATCAAGCAGCGAGCCAATACGATGAAGGAAGAAAGAGATAGAATGATAAAGGATGCCATAGAACAGAGAGAGAGGGATAGAAAGGAGGAGGAGCGACGGAGAGATGAGATGGGCATTGATTGGGGGATGGGTGGGTTGAGATTTTTTGTTGTTGTTATTGGAAAATGGACCTTATTGCTCAGTTAATATGGATGCGGTGCGGTTTAGGATTTTTTTCCGCTCTAAACAATAGTGACAATAAAAGTAATAAATAATATGGAATACTGTCCTATATATTTTATACTAGCTTTTGCCCGCGACTTCGTTCGCGTTTAATAGTGACATCCTGCAGATTTTTGGTATAAAAACTATCCTATGTCCTTTCACGAGTTCTAAATTATGTCTGTACCAAATTTGACAGAAACGAGTGTCCATGAGCGGTTCCGATTGCTTACCATCAGGTAATCCGTCTGCTCGTTTGCCGATCTATCCCATAAAAAATAAATATCTGGTGCAAAGCAAATATTCAAACAATTAACCCAATACGGTAGTTTCCAACTAGTCAAATTCAATAATTTTATCCAAACGTCAAAAACGATACTTTTCTATGAAATTTGTATGAAAAACTGAGCTATGATGTCATAACTTTTTTGCGTCAAATAGCTTACTTATTTCTTAACACATTAAGCGCCATGGGGGTCACCGGTGACCTCCGTTAGCGGAGGATTTGCCTTCAACAGTTTTTTGTCGGCAGTCAAAGGCTTAATAATTAGCTAAAAAAATATAAAACTTAGCGTATCGATCGATGAATAAAAGTATAGTTATTTTTCAATATTTTATTATTGTATTGAAACGTCGAAATAATTTATTTTTGACCTAGGAAACTACCCAATTATAATATTGTAAACTAATTTTCTGGTCTTTCTATGTCACCAACAGGAGAAGATGCAGAAGAAGAACCGGATCTGGCAGACAATCCTTACGCAGTCACAGCTAACGAGGAGCTGTACTTGGAGGACCCTAAGAAGACCCTCCGAGGGTACTTCGAGAGGGAGGGCCATGAACTCAATTATAATTGCGACGAGAAGGGCGTTGGACAATTTGTTTGTAGGTATGTACATATGTAAGGTTTTTTCTATTTTGAAATAATACAAAAACTGCCTTTACAATGTAATTTGCAAAAATGTCATGTGTAAGTGAGAGGTCCGATGTTTGCTCTCTCTCTCGATTTGGTGATGCTAGCGGCGAGACGTGTCGGTGTAATCAATTTTGTTTTTTACAATAAAAAGTGTCTATTTCAAGTCGGAATTTCAATTGAAAAGTCCTCCTAAATACATGTATACAATGAAATTTACAACTTATTAGAACCGATTAAATGTTGGTACAATAAAATGAATTAGTATATTCGCGGGTTCGATTCCCGCACGGAACAACACTTTGTGTGATCCACAAATTGTTGTTCCAAGTCTGGGTGTGATGTGCATGTGAAATTGTATGTTTTAAAACGCACCCACGACACAGGAGAAAATCCTAGTGTCAAATTTATTCTATTTGATTTTCTTTATGTGATAGATAGGTCGGCAAACGAGTAGTCGGATTACCTGATGGTAAGCAATCAGCTCCGCCGAGTTACGAGTGCGTTGCCAACCTTGAAATGTACTGCGGGCGAAGCCGGTGGCAGAAAGTGGTTTAAAAAATGTTCTCTTTTTCAGGGTGGAATTGCCGATAGATGACGCCCGTGGTAACCCAGTGATCGCTGAGGTCATACACAAGGGGAAGAAGAAAGAAGCTGTGATCGCGTGCGCTCTCGAGGCTTGCAGGATCCTGGACAGAGCCGGGCTACTGAGGCAGTCCAAACATGGTGAGAATGCATTTATATTCATATACTAGCTACTCGCCCGCGTGGATGACGATTTAACACATTTTCTTTAAGTTTTCTCTACATACAAACCTTTTCTAGACTTCCACGAATAGTCCCACAAAATTAACCAAATCGGTAAAGGCATTGTTGAGTTATAACATTAGAATGAAAAGTGGCATTGATTTTTTTATATGCATATATTTAAATCAGCCCAGATTATATGCAACATAAAAAGCATGTTATATTATGCAAATAAAATGATTGCAACATCCAAAAAAAACTGGTAGAATATGTGAAATTCGTACAAAAATTACCGGACGAATTTTTGTACGAATTTCATCAATAAATCTGTTAGCTATCGGGTCTTCCAGATAGCAAATGCTGCACAGCTCAACCATCCTGCCAGAGATGTGATATGAGGCCCCTATAGTAGTTTCTCATCTATGGTTATACCCAGAAAAACAGTTTGTTTTAAAATTCCAAATCATAATTTTTTATAACAAGTCATTTATGTAGACCAAGAAGAGGAAAGGACCTAATATCGAGCCTTGTGGTACTCCCTATAGATATGCTAGCACCCTGGGAGTTCACTTTATTTACTTGTACTTTGAACTGCCTATCCTGCAGGTATGATTTTAATAAATTGAGAGATATCCCTCGAATGCCGTAGTGTTCCAGCTTCAGCAACAGTGTCTCGTATTTAACGCAATCAAAAGCTTTAGACGGGACACAAAAAATCCCAATAGCGTCGTGTGACTTATCCCATGAGGTAAAAACATGGCTAATTAGAGTTACCCCGGCGTCATTTGTGCATCGACCCTTGGTAAACCCAAATTGTTGGTCATGAAAGATGGAATTCATGTAAAAGTGGCTATCTGTCCTCGGCTCTTTAAGATCCTCGCCTCAGAGCTCGGGTCTCAATGCGCCTCAGCGGTTATCACCAACATTACAGACTTTAATCCATAATGTACTATTAAACGCTGAAATCATTGTAGGTTGGGTATCGCAGTTAGGTCACCGATTCGTTATTTTGGAACGCTATTGCCCGTCCCTCGGTGTCAGGTCCAATTTTGAGGAAGTACCCGGGTCCAAACTGTTCAAAATTGTAGAATGACTATCTGTCTACAGAATCTCGAAAACGCAAGGAGCGGGATTGGTCAGCGGATGACTTCTACGATTCTGATGATGACACCTTCCTCGACCGGACGGGCAGCGTCGAGAGGAAACGCAAGCTGCGGATGCAAAAACATGGGGCCGCGCCAGTCGAGGACGAGAAACCCAGGACTTACGATGATTTGGTAAGCTTTTAATATCTCTAATAATTCTGTTCTAGCCGGATTGTCACAATAAAAGTCTAATTTTATTTTAGTACCTATGCGAACTGTACTATGTGTATGTACTATTCACAATGAATTGAAAATATCAACTTACTCACGTGAATTAAATGTAGAAAAGCTCGACTAGTTTCAAATCACAACGGGACTCTTATTCATGAGCGTATTCATGTATGCTCGTCGCGTTCTCAATTAATTCACACATCGGTATTTTCAATTAATTTTAGTATCCTCATCATCATCAGCCTATAAGTGCCTATTGCTGAGCACAGGCCCCTTCTCACACGGAGAAGGTGAGAGCATTTATCACCATGAATTATTGAGCAACCTCAAGGCGGATTGGCCATTTCAATCTACCTTCACTGACGGACAGACTGACAGACTATTATTCTATTTTGACGTTTCAGAAGTACCTATTTATGGTTTAGTTGGAATAAATGATTTTGATTTTGACTTCAAACTTATACATAATAATTATAAGTCCAGGTTTCCTCACGATGTTTACCTTCACCGTATGTCAGTGGTGTCTAAATAATCTTAGAAAGTACTTACATATAACTCGGAAAAAGTCACATTGGTACTTGCCAGGTTTCAAAAACAAAATTTAGTATGTCTCACTTTAGATAGTTAATATTAAAAAATTCTATTCACAGTTGAAAGAAATAACTGAAATCGAAAAGAAGATAGTCACGGAGGAAAAGAATTTGGAAACATTAAGGAGTAGTACGTCAAAGGGTCAACAGAACAATGATGATGTGGACGAATTGGACCAGTATATGAGCAGCTTGAGCAAGCAGGGCCAGAGCATGGCCACTAAAGCCGAGATATCCAGGACTAAGGTACGATGCACTGGTATTTTTCTAACTATACTCGGAATTTTAATTAGATTCCTAATTTGACAATTTTAGTGTTGCAACGTTATGACAAGTACGTTGCTAAATTATTCGATATGGAAATCGAATATTTCCGAATCGATTACTCTCGTTTATAAATTTACTCTCGTAAACTAAATTTATCAGGAAATTAAATATTAAATTAAATAAATTGTCGCCGTCATCGCTATCGCTGTTACTGTCTGTAACATTTATTATGAATTGTGTCTGTGATATTTATTGTCAATTAACATATCTAGCTTACTCATTTTTTCCTCTTCTTTGACAACATGGGATACGCATTTAGACCATTCGGTAGCCTTAATTTTTTTAATGCCTTCCTGAAACCAATTTCGCTGATTGTTTATCGATTTTTGTGTTCATCACTACACTGTTATATGTGGTATCATTGTTTCACAAAATGACAGTGGTCAATGTCAAATCAGGAATCGAATTAAAATTCTGACTATAGTCTAATTCTATTAGGTATATTCAAGTAAGTATACGACTGTACGGTTGGCGTTGGAGCTGGGCAACTGGCTGTCGTGCAACGTGTCGCGGGTTCGATTCCCGCACGGAACAACTCTTTGTTTGCTATACATACCATTTGCCAAACCATATCGCCATTTAACTCGATCCCAACGCCATCTGTCGAGCTATTCGGTACTACATTTTCATAAATAATTAATTTCGATTATGTGATAGCGTGGGGATCGAGTACACCCATTTTACTATCATTTCTACATTTAAAAGGGATTTGGGCATATAGGAGAGAGGAGCCTACAATAACCTCGCATACACGGCGAAACACTATCTATTTCTCGCCAGTATTATTAGAGAGCCGTTTAGCAATCCGGTCGAGCCTCGGCTTAGGGAAGGCCATGCTTCGGCACAAATGGGTCGGCTCGACTTTAATGATGCCTCACAGAATACTGGCTCGAAACAACCACAGCATTGTTTTTCGCCGTATGAGTGAGGTTACCAGAGGCCCAATCCTTCCCCATCCCCCATCCCTTTCTTATCCTTAAATATCCGAAATCCTTTGGTGTTGGTGTTCATGGGAGGCGGCGATTGCTTACCATCAGGTAATCCGTCAGCTCCTTTACCGACCTATACCATAAAAAATGAATTTGACTATACATTAGTTTTAAATAAATGTTTCTTCTCAGATGAGCATACAGAAGCTGAAGTCGGATCTCGCCAAGACCCAGCGGCTTGCTGAGCTGGCCCGGCCCGCGCACCTGCCCCCACTTGTCAAGAAAGACACGAAAATACACATCAAGCAAGCTAGCAACTCCGCTGTTTATGGAAAAAGGTTAGATATACTATATACCTGTATATAAATGTATGTAATGCAATTTAAAATTCCAAATGATTTATTTTTTAATTAGTCACAATGAAACAATGAATTAATTTTTGTAATTAAACTATAAAACAGCACTTTTACTTGTCAACATTATATCCAAACCAATATTATAAATGCGAAAGTAAGTCTGTCTGTCTGTCTGTCTTTTCTTCACGCCTAAACTACTGAACCGATTTCTGTGAAATTTGGTACAGACGTATGTAGCTTGGAATTCGAGAAAGGACATAGGATAGTTTTTATAAAAAAATCTGCAATAAGTCACTATTCCACGCGGACGGAGTCGCGGGCAAAAGCTAGAATTATATAAATAAAACTAGATTATGCCGACATTTGCTACTCTGAGAAGAAACGCAGAAACAAAATCAAACTCAAATAATTTATGTAGCGCGCGGTCGTTTAGAGGGTTTGCGGAGCGTGTACAATGTACAGGCGCGGCCGCACGGTTAGAAACGGCTGCGCGCGCAACGCGCCAGCGCCGGCCGCCGCCGGTCATGTAGGTGCGCAACGCTGAGTAGTCGCGCCGACGCCGCAGTGCGCAGCACAAGTAATACGTTTGTCGCGGCTCTCGCTCGCTCCCAGTTATCGTGTTGTGTTTAGTTTAATTAATCTTATAATTATTCACCAAACTTTGTTCTATTTGCTTTTATAATATACAGACTTTCGTAACAATATCGTTTCCTTCCATCTCCGATCCATCGAAAACCCACGCATTACACCTAAACCTGAGAAATAGTGACTCTACTACCTATTATATTTATTTTAAATAAACCATTATTGGCACTTTTGGATGTCAAACAAAATAATAACTATCAAAAAGTCCAACTTTGTGTGTGTCAGTCCTCTAGTGAAGCTATTCGCTCGTTCCAAAGTGTAGATTCCGATGGAGAAGAACGAGCAAGAAACTCCATGGTTACTCTTTTTAAATCAGTTTCACAATTCATTTCTTTATTACATCATTTTTGTCCGGTCAGGTCAATCTCAGACTTTCTTTTACAAAGTACAGAAAATGTAAAAAGTGCCTGATTCTACAAAAAAAAAAACTATTTTATACAGAGCAAATAGTCAATTTAACATTTTAAACCATAAATTCTAATTCAAAATAACATAATAATTATTCTTTCCTCCACAGATTAAAACTGAAAGAAGATACAGAGAAGAAAGTCAAAGTAAAAAAAGATTTGAAACAAGAAGAATCTGAATTTGTAGAAGAAATGGATGATGATGATGATGATGATGATGATGACAACGAATCATCAAATCATCAGCCAACAGAAGAAAAGAAATCTTATACTGAAGTTAAAGAAAATAAGAATGGAAAAGAATTAAGTATAAAAGAAGAAGAGAATGCAGGAGAATGTAGAACTGAAGGAGAAGTAAGCAAGAGTACGAAAGTGAAAATGTACGGTCCAATGCGACCTCCTGAAAATTATGTCATACCTGAAGATTATTACGATCAAACCAGCGATAGAGATCTGCCAGAGATAATGGAGAAAGAGACTTAGAAGATATGAAATACCGGCGTGAAACAACGTTTCCGTTTTGTTTCGCCGTGTGATTGAGGTTGATTGAAGGCCTAATCTTTTCCCCCCATCCCCAATGTGCATCAACCAACCACCTGGAGGTCCAATCCTCCTCCATCCCTCAATATTTAAAAGATCCAACACAGCGCAACTGTAACTCCTTCCCTGTTATAGGTGTCTTTTCAGATGCCTAACCGTCCCTCCCACAGTTAATCCTTAAAAGCCAGATAATCCCAATCCATCCTTCCACCTTAAACCCTTAAAAGTCTGATAACACACTTATATATCCTTCGGTGTAGCGGGTTTATTACTGGAGTGATACTCAAGACCCATTTCCCTCCATCCACATCCTCCTTATTTAAAGGGATGGCTCATCATCATCATCATCAGCCTATAAGTGCCCACTTCTGAGCAAAGGTCTCTTCTCACACGGAGAAGGTGTGAGCATTAATCAGTGAATCAGTTACATTCCTGTAACTGATTGTTTATCGATTTTTGTGTTCATCACTACACTGTTATATGTGCTATCATTATTTCACAAAGTGACAGTAGCTCATGTCAAATCTGGAATCGAATTCAAATTCTGACTATAGTAACTCCTCCGGTGTAGCAGTTGTGGAACTAAAGCTAAGTTACCAGAGGCCCAATCCTTCCCCTTCCCCAATCCCTCCTCAATCCCTAAATCTCCAAATCCCTAATCCCTAAAAGGTCGGCAACGCACTCGTAACTCCTCCGTTGCGAGTGTCCATGGGCGGCGCTGATTGCTTACCATCAGGTAATCCGTCTGCTCGTTTGCCGACCTATTACATAAATAAAAGCCCCATTTCCCCCCATCCCATCCACAAGGTTGGCTTGTCCGTGCTGCCAACGCATTTCTGGTGCTGTGGGCGTGTTACCCAAGATCCTCCAATCTCTCAAATCAGAATCCCTAGAAGGAGTTTCAAGGAATGAGCACGTAGCTACAATAATGACATTTTCAGAAAAATGTGCTGTTGTAATTTTCGTAAATATTTGATTGATAATACTTAAGTGGTTCGTTAAGCAAAAGAGCTGATTTTTAAATAGTCAGATAAATGTTATCTGAGGTATAAAATTGTTGCTGTCACTGTCTTATACAAACATTGTGACGCGACAGCATCATAATTATTCCCCAGGTAACTTTTATCTAACCATTGAAAAATCAACCCTAAGTAGTGTTAACATTTAGAAAATTCTAACTTAAAATAGTTTGTAATTAAATTAAATAAATTATAAGGTTTTAATTTGTTTTATTTTATAAATTAACTACTCGAGAATATAAGTTTTTATGCCATGTATCTCACACAAACAAGAAAAGTGTGGGAGAGCCAAGCTTCGGCACGAATGGGTCGGCTCCACCGAAATGATATCACGGCCTCACAGAAAACCGGCGTGAAATAACCACAGCGTTGTGTTTCGCCGTGTGAGTGAGGTTACCGGAAGCCCAATCCCTCCCCTTCCCCTATCCCTTCCCGATCCTTATATCCGCAACCCCTATCCCCAAAAAGGCCGGCAACGAACTCGTAACTCCTTTGGTGTTGCGGGTGTCCATGGGCGGCGCCGATTGCTTACCATCAGGTAATCTGTCTGCTCGTTTGCCGAACTTATACCATAAAAAAAAGAAAACGTTTATGTATGTTTGTCACTCTTTCACGTTTAAACTACCACAGACATTTTTTATTAAATGAAACTGCCCAAAACTATACCCCAAACCTGTATAATAAGACCATTGAGTTAGGTTTTGTATTTTGAATCTAATTCTCACCTATCTAAATTATGTAACAATGCATTGCAAAAAGTGATTGAAAAAGAGTAACGAGTTTGACTGCACGGTTGCCGGCTGCCGAGCAACGTGTCGCGGGCGGTTCCCGCACGGAACAACTCTTTGTGGGATCCACAGATTGTTGTTACGGGTTTGGTGTGATGTGTATGTGAAATTGTATGTTTGTAAACGCACCCACGACACAGGAGAAAATCCTAGTGGGGGGCAACGTTTTTCTAAAAACAGACAGAACAGAACAGTAACCATGGAGTTTCTTGCTCGTTCTTCTCCATAGGAATCTACACTTTGGAACGAGCAAATAGTTTCACTAGAGGACAGACGGACAGACTGACACATATAAAATTAAACCTTATGATATCTTTTTTGCTTGACGTTCAAAAGTGCCTTTTGTGGTCTACTTGAAATAAAGAATTTGATTTGATTGATTTGATTTACCTTCAATACGAAAATCATAAATTGGCTCAATGGTAGACTCTAGACTAAAGAAAATCTCGTTTTGCAATAAGAATATCGATATTTTCGATTCCCGTACCGCGACCTTCAAGAGAAATGATGTCAATTATTCCATTGAGTAGCAAATTTTTGTAGTCTTTGGGGTTCATTATTGATTTCTTCTTCTTTCCTTTCACGGGACCACAGGGTCCCGAACCTTTGGAAGGCGTACGAGGAGCCGAAGCCAACTCGCAGAGGCCCGTTGAACAGTTTTAATCTAAATGTGACGGGACATCAGCCAGCAATTATCCCTGTAAGCACTATAAAAGTGCACCCAAGGACAATCCCCTTGTGAAATGTGGTAAAATTGATAGGGTTATAGGTATGGGTTGCTATGGACTGGTGGATATGATAACTATGGAAATACTATGGCCCCTGCCCCTGACCAATATTGATACATACGGATAAACAGGCAGGGGGTGACTGGCAAACTCAATTAATGGGCCCCCGGAAACAGCTGCTAGCATGTAGCGACACGGAGGCAACATACGTTGAGCTGCTTGGGGAAGGAGAGGCATCCCACGGCTATCAGAACAATACCGATTATTAATTTTACTGTAGTGCACTTATTCAATGTAATACTGTAGATACTGCACTTTTGTTTTTATTGGAATAATTTAGCTTACCATGCTGTGTGATTACGCTTGGGTAGCAGTCTGTGCAAAATGTTATACTGTATAAAACATTGTGATGATTGTGACACATGTCGATTGCTACCTTTTTTAATTGCTTTGTAAAATAAAATAAAATAAATAAGGCATAAAGAGTTTTTCCGTACGGGAATTGTACCCGAGACATGTACGGCAGCCAGTAGTCTAGCCTCTGCATTAATCGTGTACTCTTAGACAGGCCCTATAGGGCTGATGTTCAGCCGGGGTTAGGGGTAAGCGCATTAAGGCGACGCCTCGGCCTAAACCAGGAGAAGGAACAGGGGTGTTTTTAGTCAGTAAGAGTCTGACACTCCCTCTCGCCTCACCCTGAGCGGAAGAAGCCGTTTGAAGATTTTCCCCTGACAAAAAAATAAATAAAAATGATACAACAATTACAAGTGTATGTAATTCAGATTCTTAGATTTTATTACAGACTTCGTTGCAGGTCGACTTAGGTCTGATTTTTCAATAGTCAGATAAATGTTATCCGAGGAATAAAATTAATTATTACATATGTTTTCGGCTTACTCGCGTAATAATTTGACGAGATACTCGACTAGTTTCAGGCTATGCTAGAGGCCCATATTCATGAGCAGCATTCCGCGACACGCGACGAGGCGACTACTATGCGCTGTTCTGTGTGTGTGCCTATAGCATGGCTTGAAACTAGTCGAGTATCTCGTCAAATTATAACGTGAGTAAGCTGAAAACATAATAATTAATTTAGAATGTCTCACGAAAGATATAATAGGAATAAAATTGTTGCTGTCACTGTCTTATACAAACATTCTGACGCGACAGTATCATGATGTCTATGTACCTCTGTCTCTGTATTTGTTCTCTATTTACTGTATGTGTGATGTGCATAAATAATAAAATAAATAAAATAAATGATTATTCCCCAGGTAACTTTTACCTAACCATTGAAAACTCAGCCCTAAATAAATTTCCTTATTTCTTGGTAGTTTGTGATATTTGTATTTGAGCGTATGGAGATTCCTCGTCGCACCTTACTTGGTAATTATTCGTTGCATTTAATTCTAGATCAGCATATAGGACCTCGTTGCCGGTATTCTAAAAATAGACAAAAGAAATAAATACCTAGGACACTTTTAATCTATTTGTTTTGTTACTATATCTATATACTAGCTACTCTCGCGCGGTTTCACCCGCTGCTCAGCTCCATTTGATCGTAGCGTGATTTTTTATAGCCTATAGCACTCAGGAACATTGTAGCTATCTATCAGTGAAATAATTTTGGCAATCCGACCAGCGGTTCCAAAGATTACCCCTACATACAAACTTACAAATTTTACCTCTTTATAATATTAGTATAGATTCGTCCCTTGCTGGTGCAATGCTGATACTAAATTTCTCCACTATTTAATGAATGTTATCATACATATAAACCTTCCTCTTTAATATTCTATATAAAAACCTCAATCTGTTTCGTGGAAGAGCCATGCTTCGGCACAAATGGGTCGGCTCGACCGGAGTGATATGGCCTCACAGAAAACCGGCGAAAAATAACCACAGCATTGTGTTTCGCCGCGTGAGTGAGGTTTCCGGAGTCCCAATCTTTCCCCTCCCCCAATCTCTAGGTCGGCAACATACTCGTAACTCCTCTGTTCTTGAAGGTGTACATAGGCGCCGTTGATTGCTAACCATCAGGTAATCCGTCTAATCGTTTGCCGACATTCTACTACTATTATAAAGGCGAAAGTTTGTAAGTATGGATGTATGGATGTTTGTTACTCTTTCACGTAAAAACAACTGAATGGATTTGAATGAAACTTTACCACAATATAGCTTATTCATCAGAATAACACATAGGCTACAATTTTTGAGGTTTCTAATGTGAGGTCGTAAAAAAACACATTTTTTGCGCTTACGTTTCCAAAGCGAAGAATTACATGTTTATACTGAAGGAAAAAGATCGTTAAATGTAGTTTATAGGAGCATACTGCAGTAGCTACCTATAGACCTATGATTAGGGCTCTGCAGTGCTTAGTTACCGTATTTCTTACTTATTACTAGACTAGACGGGACGAACCTGAAGTCCACGCGAACGAAGTCGCGGGCAAAAGCTAGTATTACATAAAACATGGCTCTCCGACACTAATTACATTACCTATATTGTTACTCACATTATCATTGATTCCTTCAGAGCATAACCGCCTCTGTCTCCTTATGCATAAGAACATAATTGCTATCACACCGACCAACACTACGCATATTAAGGCAGGCAGCACATAGTGCAGGAAAACTTCATTCGTTAAAAATACTGCTTCAGGAGTTGCTGCATTAAAGTTGTCTGAAAATAAAACCAAAATTATAATAAACTAGCTACTCACCCGCTGCTTGGCTCCATTTAATCGTAGCGTGATGTTTTATAGCCTATAGCACTCAGAAACTTTGTAGCTACCTATCTATCAATGAAAGAATTTTGGCAATCCGACCAGCGGTTCCAAAGATCACCCCCTACATACACAAACTTACAAATTTTACCTTTTTATCATATTAGTATAGACTAGCTTACGGCTGCGGCTTCGCCCGCGTGGTATGTTGATAAAAAGTAGCCTATGTCCTATTCCGGAGTGTATCCGTCCAGCCGTTTTGGCGTGATTGAGTAACAAACATGCAAACATCGTAACTTTCGCATTTTTATTATTAGTAAGCTGCACCCGTGATTGTAAGTTTTTATGAAAACTTGGCTCTGTGCTCATGCTTTTTTTTTGTGAGGGGAAAATCATCAAATTACTTCTCCCGCCCAGGGCCAGGCAGGAGGGAGTGTCAGACTCTTACTGACTAAAAGCCCCCGTTCCTTCTCCTGCTCTGGGCCGAGGTCGCGGTGCCTCATTGCGCTTACCCCGCAACCCCGGCTCTGTGCTCATGCTGAATGCGGATTCGAAACCTGGCAGATATCAATGTGACTTTTACTAAGTCATGTGTACTTTCTAAGTTCACATATTTCACCATCATCAGCCCATAAGTGCCCACTACTGAGCAAAGGCCTCTTCTCACACTAATCAACACGCTTGCTCAATGCGGATTGGCGATTTCACGTTATAATTAGAAATTATTAGTCCAGTTTTCCTCACGATGATTTCTGTCGCCGTACGTCAATATGGTGGTGTCTAAATAATTTTAGAAAGTAGATACATTTAACTCGGAAAAAGAGACGTTGCTATGGTATCAACTTGCCAGGTTTCGAACCCGCAACCCAAGCTTAGTAAGTAGAATACCCTTTTTTGGAGGGGAAAATCATCAAATGACTTCTCCCGACGACACTGTTACTGACTAAAAAGCCTCCCGGTCCTTCTCCTGCTTTAGGCCGAGGCTGCGGTACCTCATTGCGCTTACCCCGCAACCCCGGCTGAACATTAGCCCAATAGGGCCCCGTCTAGATAGGTGATACCTAGGATTAACACATAGGCTACAAGTTTTCATCAACATACCATGCGGGCGAAGCCGCGAGTTGAAGCTAGTAGGCTGTAAACTACGTGCTACACAGCTACTCCTAAACGGCTTGACCGATTTAAATGTTTTTTCTGTATGCGTTTGACTGGCGCCCCGGATGGTTTAAATACACAAATCAGCCCGACTGGTGGCGCCTAATAATTACACTAAAAGACCATCATAATCAATAAAACAATGAATTTATTTTTGCAAATAGGCCATAAAACGGCACTTTTACACGTCAATTTATATGTCAAAAACTAGATGAAGCCGGCATTTCCTATCTGACTACTCTGAGAAGAAATGCAGAGGTCCGTCTCTTTTCAAGTCCAGACAATGTAAAAATAACATAATGTGAGAGAACCGTGCAAGTTCATTCTGTAGTTGTCTTTTGAGGAAAGAACCACACCATCATCATCAGCCTATAAGCGTCCACTACTGAGAAAAGGCCTCTTCCCATAAACAGAAGGTTTTAGCATTAATCACCACGCTCTCTCAAGGCGGATTGGCGATTTCGAACTTATAATAATAATTAGAAACTATCCAGTCTAGGTTTCTTTCACCGTTTGTCAGTGGTCTCTAAATAATCATAGCCGCTAGTATCAGTTTAGCGTTTAGAGGTATGAGGAACAGGATGGAAACTTCCTCATCCTCCATTGAAAAGGGAGGATCCTCCGACCAGGCGAGGTGTTCGTGCCTGGTGGGCTACTGCCCGACTGTTGTTGTCGAGATTTTTGTATATGTTCTAATTGCGATGAGAACTTTTATAGCGCGATGTAGACTCTTGTACGTGATTGGTGCGCTATTGTTCTTGTTGTGCGATAGATGTCGCTACAAGCGTTTTGCCTCGTCATTTATACCGCGTACATCGAGGGATTGGAACAGTTTGCCGGCTGCAGTCTTTCTGTCCGAATACAATTTAGGTGTCTTCAAGGCTAGAGTGAATAGGATCTTAATAAACCAGTGCGCCTTACTAGCAACGATTGCATCACTGCTTACCATCAGGTGGGATCGCAGTCAAGCACTAGTTTATTGCAAGTAAAAAAAAAAGTATAATTTAACTTGATAGACTTACTAGGCGGGTCTTCTGTAGTAGGTGACTGGGTGGTCGTGGGACTACTCACAGCACGTGTTGTCGTGTTTCGTGTTGTATCTGTAAACGATAAACGAAATCCAAATCATTACATCGTATAAAACAAAGGAGCTTTCTCTGTCCCTATATATATATTTTTTTCTTATGTGATAGGTCGGCAAATGAGCAGACGGATTACCTGATGGTAAGCAATCAACACCAAAGAAAGTTACAGGAGTTACGACTGCGTTTCAAGGATCAGTGTGTTGGATATTCAAGGATTGAGGGAAGGGATGGGGGACGGGCAGGGATAGGGCTACCGCTAACCTCACTCACACGGCGAAACACAAATCTGTGGTTGTTTCACTCAGTTTTTCTGTGAAGCCGTGGTATCACTCCGGTCGACCCGACCCATTCGTGCCGAAGCATGGCTCTCCTATACTTATAAAGCTATGCTTAACGTAGCCCATTACCCTCTTATTGCTATGAATTCATATAAAATTTATAATTACTTTCAGAAGGGTTCCTTGCTTCATGACTTGCACAGATTTTTGACAAATCCACTGTTATTAAGCACCACTTGGGACTCGAACATTGACCGGTTTCTGTGAAAAAAAAAAAATGTTTTTACCAAACTTTATTTCAGTATAGAGATCCCTTACTGCTCAGTTAATATGGTTGCGGAGCGGTTGGGGATTTTTTCCGCTCTAAACAGTATAGTGACAATAAAAAAAAAATATGGAATACTGTCTTATATATTTTATACTAGCTTTTGCCCGCGAATTCGTTCGCGTGGTATAGTGACTTCCTGTAGATTATTGGTATAAAAACTCCTGTCTTTTCTCGAGTTCCAAACTATGTCTGTACCTACCAAATTTCACAGCAATCGGTTCAGTAGTTTAGGCGTGAAGAAAAGACAGACAGAGAGAGTTACTTTCGCATTTATATTATTAGTTTGGACTGACATGGACATCAAGACGCATATTATGTCAACTTGTCCAGTATCTACTGAACAGGCCATCAATTTTCTCTGTCAGTATAGCTAGTATAGGGACTGTTGACTGTCCCTCAATCGCCGCATCATGGATGCACATCGCTTGCGTATCTTTTGCTAATCAATAAACAAATGACTACTTTTGGAAAAATTAATTAGCCTTAGCCTAACAAAAACTATTTTGATTTGAAATGGCCAGTACTGCAGAACGGCAATTTCATAGGTAAAGACCTATTATATAAAGGGAGAAACTGCACTGACTGACTGAAATATCAAAGCACAGCGTAAACAGCTAAACGTAGTCTCTTGATATTTGGAAGGGACGTCCGAAGGGGTGCACTAAGAAAGGAATTTCCGAAGTTCATATGGAAAGCGGAATTTGCGGGAGAATCCTTTTGCATGAAGAATGCTTCAGGTAGACGTTTGAAATTTGGCATGCAGGTGCCTTACATTGCAGAATTCCCACGAGAACGGGATTTAGCGAGAAAAATCATATGTAAGAAAAAATCTCATCATCATCATCATCGCCAACCTATAAATGCCCACTGCTGAGCAAAGGCCTCTTCTCATACGGAGAAGGTTAGAGCATTAATCACCACGCTTGCTCAATGCGGGTTGGCGATTTCAAACTTATAATTAGAAATTATAAAGTCCAGGTTTTCATCACGATGTTTACCTTCATCGCATGTCAGTGGTGTCTAAATAATCATAGAAAGTACATTATAACTCGGAAAAAGTCACATTGGTACTTGCCAGGTTTCGAACCCACACCCTCATGTATGAGAAGCGGGCTCCTTAACCTCCGGGCCACCAAGGCAACAAGAAAAAATCTAACTGACTTTGACTTTTTGACTGCACGGTTGGTGCTGGTGCGGTGGCGCGGGTTCGACTCCCGCACGGAACAACACTTTGTGTGATCCACAAATTGATTTTTAGGGTCAGGGTATGAGGAATTGAATGTTTGTAAACGCACCCACGACACAGGAGAAAATCGTAATGTGGGGCAACGTTAAGTTTAAAAAAAAACTGTCTGCTATTTATCAACACACCACGCGGGCGAAGCCGCGGATGGAAGCTAGTAATGGCATAAAAGGCATCTATTATGGCTTCCGCAAACATTCCAGATGCGGCGAAAAATTATGAATATACTAGAATACCTAGTAAGTAAGGTGCGTTTGTCGTGGGTAATGATGATGACTTTCTCCAGTAACGAGAGAAATTCTGCTAAGCAGAGTTTACTTGCAGGCTGATGATGATAATGTTACGATAACCTGGGTGTCTTCAAGGCCCGAGTGAATAGGTTGCTTATGGGTAGGCGTGCTCCATCGTAGGTCGCATCATCGCCTACCAGCGGCTGAATGTCTGCCCATTTTTTTTTAATGGAACAAGCCCTCCTATAAAGCCAGCAACCTCCCAAAACCTCTGCAACTCCTGTGCACCAGGATCTACAGTAGATACAACCATGAAAACACTGGAACACTGAAGTCTGGCGCGTCCCAGGGACATGAAACTCTTGGATGCCGCAACGAAATAAATCAGAAGATATTATTTGAGGAGAAGAGAAAACGAAATAGTTTCTACTTCCCTCGGTAAATTTAATGCAGCAGTGTGATTCTGCAAGACTTCATTCTAAACTTCGAATCTGAATCCGCTGTGAATAGTAGTACACTAGCGCTACACTTGCGAGTTGAACTAAATTGACAGCAACATTTTGATAGATAAAGTATGAGATGACGTTAAAAAAGTGGCACTCTAAAATTTTATTTCCCCGTCATTTCGACTCTCACTTCGCACTCGAACACGATTCAAAAACAAACAAATTTTATAGAATCGACGTGCAGGAGACAGAATGGCTTAGGCCTTAAAGGCACAGAAGAGACTGTACAACTGGGAGAAGCCCAGCCACCAAACACCACGGAAAATTTTGTATTGTTATTGTAATGGGACCTGTGTGTGAACTGCTATAGTTGTTTCCAGTAATAGGTACCTATGGCAAAAAAGGTAACTACACTTGATGATACATAATGTAACGTTCGTATTGCTACACGTAGGAGGCGGATCGATTTCCTAATGGTAAGCAATCAGCGCCGCCCATGGACAACAACGACGGAGTTACGAGTGCGGTGCCGACCTTTTGGGGATTAGGGATTTGGATATTTTGAGATTGGAGGGGAAGGATTGGGTCTACGGCAACCTCACTCACATGGCGAAATCAACACTGTGGTTGTTTCACGCCAGTATTCTGTGAGGCCGTGGTACCACTCCAGCCGACCCGTTCGTGCCGAAGCTTGGCTCACATTTAAAAATAAAAAAGAACACAAAAAACTAACCTGCTAATAATTTGCTTCGAGATCTCGTCATCATACCAGAGTCAGCGGTTATGGTAACGTCCGTTCCACTTGCAATTAAAACATAGCAAGACTTGACTGACTGACTTGTTCTCAAATCAATAAACACTGATGCATTAAAATGCATTACACGTGTTTCGATATGTATATTCGGTTTTGCTAAGTCAATATTTTGCGGCATATCCGAAACGATACCTATACATAAAAAAAATAAATAAAACTGTTAATCACTTGAATGACTTGAAGTGTATACTTTTTTATTAAAATAATACCTATGGTCTATCGATTTAGTTAATTAGGTAACTATATGTAGGTAAACAATTTTGGTACCTATGTCTTTTTCTATACCAATATTATAAAGAGGTAAAATTTGTAAGTTTGTATGTAGGGGGTAATCTTTGGAACCGCTGGTCGGATTGCCTGCGCTACGATCAATCTATGTTAGCTAATAAACTGTTATTTAAGTGCTGAGTTTTCAATGGTTAGACAAAAGTTACCTGGGGAATAATTATGATGCTGTCGCGTTAGAATGTTTGTATAAGACAGTGAGAGCAACATAGTTATTCCTCAGATAACATTTATCTGAATATTGAAAAATCAGCCCTAAATTTAAAATATTATGCGATCTCTTTAATATAAATATAAAAAGACAAAAGTGAACCAAGATTGTTTACCTTTAGTTAATCCATAAACCAATAGACCACAGCTATATTGATTTTACATTCTTCAAATACACTTATAGACACAAAATTTCATCAAAATCGTTAAAGCTGTTTAAGAAATTCTTTCAATATACATATATTTTAAAGAATTGCTGGTTGAATTAAACGTATTAGGTTTTGTATTCAGCTTACTACACAAGAGGTACTCCTGTTCCTTCACTCACTGCCTCCGAGGACAGTAGACCGATAAGGCCAGGATATACTCCCGTCCAGCAATGACGAAGGTACCAACCAGTGCCGGCGTAAGGGCCACAGACACCCCGGGCGAAAATATTGTAGCGCCCACTTGAGTGAAGCAATATCAAGTGTCAGTTTTTTGCTGATCGTATTGATATCTTTAGAGTCACTCCTCGACCACAAATCGTCAAAAAATCTCAATAAAAATATGCATATGCACAGAGCGTAGATCACAGTTCTGAGGGTTTGCACCAGGAGAGGCAAGAGACTTCAACTTCAGACCTTGCCGACCCCCAGAATTCGTCGCTCTGGACCATCGCCCCATCACCCCCCTAACGTTGGTACCAACCTTTGTAGCAGATTTGTACTTACCTGAACGCCAAGTATAAGTAAGTTCAGTAACATTTTTCGGAAAATTAATTAAATTGATTGTCATATTTAGGCCATCTGACCACTTGTACCAAAATTGAAATGGCAAATTGTTCGCTTCGGTAACTGTTTCTGAAATAAAATAAGTACATATGTAAGTGTTACATTAGTTAATCACTACGTTATTTCCATAGTTTTGGAAATATCGTGAACCTAGGTAGTTAATGATGAGGATAGACCCAACTCGGAGACAAAGGAGGCGTCGTAGGAATCGCCGTAGAATTTAGCTCCGAAAAGATAGGAGGTAGTAACATCATTTGAGGGTCGCAGGTGAGTTCGTTCATTCGAGAACCCAGTGACCCTCTCATTGTTTTCTGGGATTGAGTGTGTGGTTTTAGTCGGTAAGAGTCCGACATAACCTGCTGTCTGACGCTCTTGTCTAGACAAAAGATATCCATGAGGATTTCCACACGTTAAAAAAAAAAGGTAGTTAATGATAATTTCTCGCCCTGAGTGTGTGGGGATAGAAATTAAGTGTGTAGACTCTTACTGATTCAAGATCACCCCTTTCTTTCTCAACAAAGCAACTCCGGCTGAATATCAGCTCTGTTGGGCCTCATCTATGGACGTAGGTATAATGGCTCTTTGATGAGCGCGCGGATCTGGTTTTGGCTGAGCGACGAGCTACCGATGCTTACCGTCGCCCCACACCATGGTATCGACTAAGACTGAACGCGAGAGGTCGCCGTCGCCGATTTCTTTCCTGACTACATGGTGGTTCTCAGCCGGAGGCATACCACCACTTTATCTTTCAGCCGGGGTTGCGGGGTAAGCGCAATGAGGCACCGCGACCTCGGCCCAGAGCAGGAGAAGGAACAGGGGTGTTTTTAGTCAGTAAGAATCTGACACTCCCTCCCGCCCGGCCCTGGGCGGGAGAAGTCATTTGATGATTTTCCCCTCCCAAAAGAACCACTATATCTTCCACCGTATCCTCCGGGTTATCTACCCTAGCCTTAAATGCTGTCCGAGCGTACGGCGCGTAGCGTTCCGCGCGCGCCTGAAAGAGCCAATAGACCACCACAGACGGGGCCCTATAGGGCTGATGTTCAGCCGGGGTGGAGGGGTAAGCGCAATGAGATGGCCTAGAGCAGAAGAAGGTACGGGAGGTATTTTAGTCAGTAAGAGTCTGACACTTCCTCCCGCCCGACCCTATGCGGGAGAAGTAATTTGATGACCTTATCCCCTCACAAAAAAGTCTTAATTGGGGTTATAAGTCTGCTCGTCTACGTATAAAAAAAGATAATTGAATATATTTAATCATCATCATCAGCTTATAAGTGCCCACTGCTGAGCAAAGGCCTCTTCTCATACGGAGAAGGTTAGAGCATTGAGCACCACGCTTGCTCAATGCGGGTTGGCGATTTCGAACTAATAATATAGATTATAAGTCCAGGTTTCCTCACGACGTTTACCTTCACCGTATGTCAGTGGTGTCTAAATAATCATAGAAAGTACATATAACTCGGAAAAAGTCACATTGGTACTTGCCAGGTTTCGAACCCACACCCTCAGCCATGAGAAGGGGGCTCCTTAACCTCCGGGCCACCACGACATACTATATTTAAACATCCCCTCAAAAACAGGGAAAGTTATACTTTTTTTTATGTAACAGGTCGGCAAACAAGCAGACGGATTATTACCTGATGGTGAGCAATCAGCGCCGCCCATGTACACTCGCAACAAAGGAGTTACGATTGCGTTGCCGACCTTTTGGGGATTGGGGAATGGGGAGGATTGGGCCTCCGGTATTTACTTACTCGTTTGGAAAATTAGTAAGTAAGTAGGTATACTCACGGCTTACGGCAACAGCCTCTCCGGGAGGATTTTGAGCTCCAAATAATCCAATAAAATTACAATACACATATTTAAAAAAATTCATTGTACAAAATTATCAATATTTTAGCGATCGATCCTGCTTGCACAAAGGCTTTACAACGTTCACTGCTTAAATTAACTTGTGATACTTTGCTAATTTCCTTTCCATCACACAGACGACAAGTTCATCAAATATTCTACAGCCGTTACAGAGTATTTAGCGTTTAGATCGAAATAAATACTTAGGTTATTTTCTACGTAATATTTTCTTTCACTTTGTTTGTGCAGTATTACTAGAATTGGTGTCGACGATCCGTTCAAATTCACAATAATATTATGACAATTAAATAAACAGTTAGTGCAGTTTGACGGCTCTTAAAATAAATTTATCCTTTACATTTTCCTGTGAGTTGCATCATTAAATGATAATGCTAATTTATATTATTTACTAGCCGTGCGCCCCGCTTCGCACGGGTCCAACTATCACGGTAGCAACGAAAAGGTCACTTTTCCCAATTTTTCCAGCAACTTTCTAATATTTACTTAGATAGGAACATTCTCATGACAATATACCAGAACCAGACCCGAGCGTACGGCGCGTAACGTACCGCACGCCTCAAAGACTCAATAGACCACCACAGATGGGGCCCTATAGGGCTGATGTTCTGCCGAGGGTTGCGGGGTAAGCGCAATGAGCCACTGTGGCCTCTAGTAAGAGTCTGACACTCCCTCTTCTCTTGCCCCACCCAGGGCAGGATACCATTGTGAGTTAACCATAAAAGATAGACATATGATGTAAACCAATTTTTTTAGATAATTTTATATAGAATATTTCCGTTCTAAATAATTTCTATGTAACTTTAACCATTAAGGCTACACACGTGACGGCTCCCGTTTTCCCAACATTTACCTTGCTCTGTTCCTATTATTTGTAGCGTGATGAAAAGTATGCTATAACCTGCCCAGGAGTATAAAGAATAATAGTACTAAGTTTTGTTACAATCCGTCGAGTAGTTTTTGTTTCTATAAGGAACATACAGACAGACAGACAGACAAAAATTTTACTGATTGCATTTTTGGCATCAGTATCGATCACTTATCACCCCCTGGTAGTTATTTTGAAAATATATTTAATGTACAGAATTGACCTCTCTACAGATTTATTATTATAGGTAAGTATAGATTACTATTCTAAACTATTACCTATCTACTATCTACTTGCGTAGACTTAAGTAACATACAAATCAAACTTAAATACATAAAAAAGTGCTCTTCACCAATGACGTATTTAGTTTTATACATCATTGCTCTTCACCTCATGTAGGTACTCGTCATCGGGAAAAATAGACACATCTAGTGAGCCCGAACTCGATATGTTCACTAGTACACACAGTCCAAGGTTCCATCCAGCGACCTTCCAACTCCATCATCAAACCAGCCCAACAGTACCATAATATTGTATTGTCATCTAATCCACACACAATTGGGTAGTTTCCTAGGTCAAAAATAAATTAACTCGATATTTCAATACAATAAAATATTGAAAAATAACTATACTTTTATTTGTCGATCGATCGATACACTAAGTCAAGGTAATAATATCTACAAGTATTCCAACTTCATAGAAACGGCCGAAACGCGAACTATACCTACGCGCCCGATGTCGGGGCGCGCTCGGGACGCAAACAGACGCGGCTGTTCCGCAGTGACGAACGGACGGTGTGTTGTCTTTTATTTAGAAATCAGCTCGAGTACATTAATATGACGAATAGGAAATATTGTGCTGTGTTTGGTTGCATGAATTTCTGAAAGGTAAGGCTATAAAATAATTTTACTTACTAGTAGCCTAGGTAGGTACATAATGTGTGTCTTTATAATGGATCATTATTTTCTTTTATCTCACGAAAACAGGTGTTTGAATTTATAAATAAAATGAATAAAGTTATCGGTTCTGGTTCTGAATGAATCATGATACGTTAGGTAGGTACCTACCTACTTACGCTTGTGTTAAAACGGTTCATGTATGTTTTGTTAGTTTGTATAATTCAAAGTAGAGAGTGTGGTATTTTATTATTAATAATATTTGTTTATTATCTGTGTTTATGAATAATACTAGAAAAAATAAGAGTTTTTGCTGCTGCTTTAACAACATAATACCAATAAAAACGTTTTTTTTTTCTCGGTTTTAACAATAAGTAAGTAATAGGTAAGTATTTATTTTTAAAGCACTTTATTTGTTTATATTTAAAAAAGGATATTTACAATCACAAAACTAAATGGTAACAGAAAGTAGACAAAGGTAATTATAATACTGGAGACGAGCAGCCCTAACGCATGTTTACGTACCGCGCGGCTGTAGGTATTTATTTCTTTCAAGCGGCCGAGTTACAATACTGTATGATATTTTTACTGTGACTAAGTTTTAGATTTTTTTAGCTAATTATTATGAAATAAGTAAGCTGTTTGACGCAAAAATGTTATGACGCTCAGTTTTTCATACAAATCTCATAGAAAAGCATCGTTTTTGACGTTTGGATAAAAGTATTGAATATGACTACTTAGTTGGCAACTGCCGTATTGCCAAGTTTCATGATGACGTCGGGGTTGCGAGGTAAACGCCGGAGGTTAAGGAGCCCGCTTCTCATACATGAGGGTGTGGGTTCGAAACCTGGCAAGTACCAATGTGCCTTTTTCCGAGTTATATGTACTTTCTATGATTATTTAGACACCACTGACATGCGGTGAAGGTAAACATCGTGAGGAAACCTGGACTTATAATTTCTAATTATAAGATTGAAATCGCCAACCCGTATTGAGTAAGCGTGTTAATCCTCTAACCTTCTCCGTATGAGAAGAGGCCGTTGATCAGCAGTGGGCACTTCTAGGCTGATGATGATGACAAAGTCGCTTTATCTGTCCCTACTAAGTTACCCTATGTATGTTTAAATCCAATGACGATATAACCTTAAATCTTTAAAACTAGGTACGCAAACTGATTTTGCTGCAGTTTTTTTCTTCAATATTTTGTGATTGAAGAGGTAGGTTTAAATGTATAATAACATCCATTAAATAGTGGAGAAACTTTGTATCAGAGGCTATATATAAGTTTACACTATACTAGCTTTATACTACCTATACTGGCTTTTATCGGCGACTTTGTTCGCGTGGTATAGTGGCTTCTATGGTTGGTGATTTTTGGTATAAAAAATATTTAAAAATAAAAATAAACTTCTTAGTTTAATTTTTTGTGCAGTTATACATCGCTGCTGGAGAGAAACGCTCTAAAATTAATTCGTAGTTAAAATAAATGTCCTATTCATTAAGAGAAATAGATATGTATGTATCTAATAAACCTAAACTCGATATATTTACTAGCATGCAGGTCCAAGGTTCCATCAGCGACCTTCCAACTCCATCATCAAACCAGGTCGACGGTACCATTATATTGTATTGTTATCTATCCACACACAATTACCAAGTTACACGATATTACAACAATTACAAGTGTGTGTAATTCACATCCACATCATGTCAAGTCATCTGATTGGTTGTTGATAATTCAGTCAACCAATCAGATGACTTGACAAGAGATTAAATTGAATTTAACATTGATCGGCCTTTCAGAAACCGGGTGTCAGATTCTTAGATTTTTTTACAGACTTTGTTACAGGTCGACCTGAAAAGGTAGCTTTTATAATTAAAAACTGCCAAAAGAGCATTTCAAATGATAATAATTTCTTTATTGTTTTCCATAAACATCTAAAATCAGGGATCGAAAGGAAAACACACTTATATACAGAGAAATAAGCTTCAAAATTATTTTACAATAATTTATTGCTTAAAAATTAAAAAAGAAATGTACATGGGAATCTACGTTGACATTTTACACTATTAAACTTGCTCTTAGCTTACCTAAAAACCGATTATTTAGAAATACCGAAAATCGTTAATTACCAAAAAACATTTTGAAAAAATTAATTGATTTAAATCGTCGAAAAATGACCCAAATACGTACTGAAAATAATCATTTAATAAGAAAGAGATGCAAGATGCATAAAATGCCGTCATTGCTTGTAAATTAATCGTGTAGGAGTGAGATGGTAAGATTTTCGACTATTCCCGTTTATAATGCCCGCTGTGACTTGAAACTAGTCGAGCTTTTCTCAGTTAATTCACGGGAGTAAGTCAATATTTTCAATTAGTTTAGGATAGTTGGCCATGATCGCGGGAGTGAACTAGTCTTATTAATAAAACAACAGGACAGACAATGAAGTCTGAATTTCCCATTTTTATGGAGATTATTTCTTTATTTGGTTTTTATTAGTAACAATACCCCTTACGCAGTTACACTGCTCAACTCCTAGCGAACGTATCGTGATCTTTATTAACTGAAAAATATTTGGTTAAATTCGCACCAGTAGTTTCGGAGATTAGCGCTTAAAACAAACAAACTCTTAAACTTTATAATAAGGAGCATATCACCAAATCATATTTAAATTCGGTAAATTAACGAAACTCGGTATTTTCGAACTAAAACCGGGTATTTTTTTGCTAAAAGTCGGTTTTATCGGTCAATTTCTCCGAACACGACGTCGAGGGTGCCTATGATAGCGACGATGTCTGCCAACATGGAATTTTTGCCAACTTTTTCGAGGGCAGCCAAGTGCGCGAAGCCGGGCGCCTTTATCTTGCATCTGTTGACAAAATAAAATATAACGTCATGCAAATAATATTGTAGGTAAAGAGCTAAAACTGCATGACGACGGCGCCGCCTTTGGACAATCGTAATACCAAAAGACATATAGGTGTTGTTGGTTCTTGGGGTTGTGCGTAGGAGAGCCATGCTTCGGCACGAATGGGTCGGCTCGACCGGAGTTATACCACGGCCTCACAGAAAACCGGCGTGAAATCACTACAGCGTTGTGTTTCGCCGTGTGAGTGAGGTTACCGGAGACCCTATTCTTTTCCCTCTCCTATCCTTGATCCTCAAATCCCTAATAACCTATTCCTAGTGCCTATGGGCGGTGCTGATTACTTATCACCAGCTAATACGTGTGCTCATTTGCCGACCTACATATGTCATAAAAAAATGAGGATCGAGGTTTAGGATAGGAGGTAGGGCTATTATTGTAAGGGGAAAATCAAACGAGGAAGTGTCAGATTCTTGATGAGACTGACTAAAAGCTCCTTCCTTAAGGTCCCTTCTTCAGCTCTAGGCCATGGCCACCGTGCCTCATTACGTTTGGCCCGCAACCCCAGCTAATAGGAGATAGGGTGGGCCTTAAGAGAATGCAACTTTCTCTAATTATGTTCTGTATAAATTAACAACTTATAACAAGAAATAATACAGTTCAACTTTAATACTATGTTATAAAAACACTTACATTAATTAATATTATAACCTACTCAGTCACCTATTTCTTGCGTTATTTCGCGACGTGAGTGAGGTTACTTACGAATCCCCAATCCCCAATCCTCAATCTCCAAATACAAATACTCATACCCTAAATGGTAAAACAACGTTCTTGCAGTCTTTCATAAGGTAAAAATATTAAAAGTCGATGTCAAAATCATTTATTCCAACTAAACCATAAATAGGTACTTTTGAAACGTCAAAATAGAATAGTAGTCTGTCAGTCTGTTTGTTAGTGAAGCTAGGTGCTTGTTCCAAATTGTAGATTCGAATGGAGAAGAACGAGCCAGAAACTCCATCGTTAATCAATAGCTCTCATACATAAAAACTATCTTCAAAATAACTTTCTCATTACCTGTATGGCTTAGATCCACCATCAGAAACGAGATAGATTCCGAATTCTCCCTTAGGAGCCTCTACAGCGGTGTAGGTGGATCCAGGAGGCACCTGGTACCCTTGTGTGAACAGCTTGAAGTGGTGGATGAGGGCTTCCATTGAAGTCTGGAAGCGAAAAAAATAATTATATCACTATATAGCAGGGACGTTATGGATATGAATTGGAGACGAATAAAGGAATGATTATTATACGGATAATCCGAAATTATTTCATAACTATAATACCATTATAGTTATGAAATAATTTCGGATTATCCGTTAGTTTCGGATAATTTCGATTACGGATATTAAAATTTTAAATAATAATAATAATTTTAATTACATTTCAGGACTTTCCGACTATTATTTCTTTGACATTTTAACATTAGACATTGTTTAAGTAATTACTATTTTGACTTTTGTTTATGGACTGTAACTATTCAATTTATAAAGCAGTAAGTTTAAGTTTTAGGATGACATGTTTATAATTTGTAACATTTTAAATTAATTTATGCATGCCTACTGGTAAAATATGGCTGAGCTCGCATTGTACCTAACCTAACACCACAAATATTATTGTACTACCCATATTTGCAAAATAAACTATCTCTTTTATCTTTATCTAAAGTATTTCTTTTTTTTATTGATTATAGGTTCGCGCTTGACCGCTATCTCACCTGATGGAAAGCGACGATGCGGTCGACGATGGAGCGCGCTTACCTAGAAGTAACCTATTCACTCTCGACTTAAAGATACCCGGATTGTAACTATCAGGAAACACCGACTATTTTAAATGTAAAATACAAATAGTTTCATTTATATGTCACCAGCGCGTCTTGTGTGTCGGCTGCGCCCGGCCGAACAAAACAACTTGTCATAACGTGTCACGATTAGGCTCCGCCCCTATCCGATACTATCCGAAACTTTTATTTCGGTTTCGGTTAAGGATATTTTTTATATCGGATATCCGATAGATTCGGTTTCGGTTACGGAGCTCCCTAACATCACTACACAGTATAAAACAAAGTCGCTTTCTCTGTCCCTATATTGCTATGTATGCTTAAATCTTTAAAACTACGCAACGGACTTTGATGCGTCTTATTAATATATTTTTTTGAGAGGGGAAAATCATTAAACGACTTCTCCCGGGCGGGAGGGAGTGTCAGACTCTTACTGACTAAAAACTTCCTGTTCCTTCTCCTGCTCTGGGCCGAGGTCGCGGTGCCTCATTGCGCTTACCCCGCAACCCCGGCTGAACATCAGCCCTATAGGGCCCCGTCTGTGGTGGTATTGACTCTTTGAGGCGCGCGCGGAACGCTACGCGCCGTACGCTCGGGTCTGGTTCTGGTCGGGCGGCGAGCTACCCTTACTCGCCGTCCGCAGACCCGCGAAAATCCGAATTTGGGGTGACGTTTTATTATAAAAAAGAGAATGGAGGGTATACCTTCATCTCCTCACGCGAAGGTGGCGTGAGTTTGGCATCGTCTGTCTTGATCTCTCCGGCCGGCATTTGGTTTAGGCACTGGTCGATGATGCGAAGAGACTGACGCATCTCTTCAACGCGGCAGAGGTATCTGGAATATTCATTTATTAATTAAATATCTTTACGCACAAAAAAATTGTACAAAAGGCGGGCTTAATGCCATGGGGATTCTCTAAAAAAACCTTTGGGTGATGCAGAGATAAATTATAAGGTGCACAAAGCAAGCATCGTCTTACATAAACGAGTACTATAATGGGGAAAGGTGAGTTTTCTAAAGGTTTTTGAAGGTTTCCGTTTGAAGGGGGGCTATTTATTTTTTTATTGGAATAGAAGGTTAAAGAGCTGATGGATTACCGGATCATTACAGACACTTTTGAATGTCAAAGAGAGATATAGATAGAAAAAGGGGATTGGACACTCTTGGTTTCGCTTTTTGAAGCGTATGGTCACTTAAGCAAATCTGCGTTGCCGACCTTTTGGGGATTAGGGATTTGGATATTTAGGGATTAAGGAGAGATTGGGGTAGGTTTTGGGCCTCCGATAACCACACTAACACAGCGAAACACAACGCTGTTGTTGTTTCACGCCGGTCTTCTGTGAGGCCGTGATATCACTCCGGTCGAGATTTTAAATTTGTTTTAGCGTTAATTCTATACTGTGCTAAAAAAGAGCGCAACCGAGTGCTATAGTAGTTTGCCCACTGTCCTTTCAACCTGTCCGTCTGTCCTCTAGTGAAGCTATTTGCTCGTTCCAAAGTGTAGATTCCTATGGAGAAGAACGAGTAACAACTCCAAATCAGTTTATGTAAGTGATCGGCGCCAAGGGAGTCACACTTGCTAGGCTTTCAAGAAGGAATACCGACGTCTCTTAAAGGTTTGAAGGTCGTTGACACTTGAGTGAGATATACTTAAGTTGTCGAAAATAATAACTTACTCATATAAATGGACAGAGAACTTCGCGACGCGGAGCTACTCTTGAATAAGAGTCCCGTCGTGACTTGAACTAGTCGAGCTTTTGTCGGTAAATTCACGTGAGTAAGTCGTTATTTTCAATAAATTTGTATACGTAGTTATTACTATTTAACAGATTCTTATTTTCTTTAAGAAAAAAGGTAAGTTAAAACTAATATTATAAATTCGAAAGTAACTCTGTCTGTCTGTCTTTGCTTTATGCCTAAGCTACTGAACCGATTTCTATAAAATTTGGTACAGACATAGTTTGGAACTCGAGAAAGGACATAGGATAGTTTTTATACCAAAAATCTGCAGGAAGTCACCTTTCCACAAAAGCTAGTTATGTATATTTACCTGTCATAGCAGTCCCCGTTAGTACCGATAGGTACGTCGAAGTCCACAAGATGGTAAGCGTCGTAAGGTTGCGACTTACGGAGATCCCATTTTATGCCAGAGCCACGAAGCATCACACCGCTAAAAAAATAAAAATAATATTTAATTAATTAAGTTTAGGGCTTATTTTTCAATGGTTAGATAAAAGTTCTGGGAAACAATTATGATGCTATCGCGTCAGAATGTTTGTATAAGACAGTGACAGCAACAATTTTATTCCTTAGGTAACGTTTATCTGACTATTGAAAAATCAACCCTAATTGACAGAACAGACAGTTAAAGATTTTTTCCTATGTCGTGTGTGCGTTTACAAACATACAATTTCACATACACATGACACCCAGACCCGGAACAACAATTTGTGGATCACACAATGGGTTGTTTCGTGCGAGAATCGAACCATCGACATACTTTTACAAATAAATATGTCCTCTTGGACAACTTGCGCAACTTGCGCTAAATTGCGCAACATTTTTTTTAAGTAATAGGTCGGCGAATGAGCAGGATTGCCTGATGGTAAGCAATCAGCACCGCCCAAGGACATCCGCAACCGAGGAGTTACTAGTGATTCGCCGACCTTATGGGGATTAGAGATTTGGAGATTAAGGGATTGAGCTTCCGGGGTTGTTTCACGCCGGTTTTCTATGAGGCCGTGATGTCACTTCGGGCGAGCTGACCCATTTGTGCCGATGCATGGCTCTCACACACTTAAAACTTGCGCAAACTACAAGGTCTAGAAACGGATGTGTTACCTGAAGCCGTAATTCAAAGCATCCTGAGCGGTGACGACGCCGATATCCTTAGTCCTCTGCACCCAGATCCTGTTGGTGGTCAGTACATCTTCGACCTCATCCAGACGCTCAGCGAACTTGGATGAAAACTCGTAGATGTCATCCATGAGACCTAGGGGCATGTCCTGGGGAGAAGAGCATGTTTAAAGTTAGTTTTTTTTTGTATACAGCAACAGGGGAAGCCAGTAGGTAAGTGTGGGAGAGCCAAGCTTTGGGTCGGCTCGACCGGAGTGCTACGCCGGCCTCACAGAAAACCGGCGTGAAACAACCACAGCGTTGTTTTGCCGTTGGAGTAAGGTTACTGGAGGACTCAATCTTTACCCCTTTTTATGTCATAGGGATTTAATTCCGAACTAAGAAATTTTAACTAGGGACGATGGGTAAGTAAGTTGGCCTCCGTTGACCTCACTCACACGAAGAAACTCAACGCTGTGGTTGTTTCACGTCGGTTTTCTGTGAGGCCGTAGTTTTATTCCGGTCGAGCCGTTCCATTTGCGCCGAGGCATGGCTGGAATAATTTGACCAGTTGGAAACTACCGAATTAGTAGAATCACACTATTTTTTAAAATTCAAAAAAATCTGACAGTAACCCATTAAAAATACAAATGTCTTCGAAAGCTACTTACAAGAGAAACACCACCAGGTCTGATGTATGCAGCGTGCATCCTGGCTCCAGAAACTCTTTCATAGAACTCCATCATCTTCTCTCTCTCCTCGAACAGCCAGAAGAATGGAGTGAGGGCACCCACGTCAAGAGCGTGAGTTCCGACGGCCATGATGTGATTTAAGATACGAGTTATCTCAGCAAAGAGTGCTGAAAAAGAATATTAAGTGATAGGACGGTAAACCAGCTGACGGATTACCTGATGGTAAGCAATCAGCGGCGGCCATGGACACACAATTACGGAAGAGTTATGAGTGTGTTGCTGACCTTTTAGAGATAAGGTTTTGGGGATTTAAGAATTGGGGAAAGGTGAGGATTGGGCCCTCCGGTAATCTCACTCAGGCAAATAAATAATAAATATTTTTTTCTAGTCCTAGTCACATTGGTACTTGCCAATTCCAAAACCACCCCCTCATGCATGAGAAGCTGGTAATGGCTTGTAGCTCCACTGAATTTTTTTGAAAAAACTTTCAAATAATATCGTTTACAATACCGCCAACGTATCTTGGCGGGTCTGAAGTTAGCCGATTATCTAGCTGCGCAGTACACAATTTTGTTCCTAAAAGATCCATTGCGCAGACAAACGGCTAACTTCAGACTCGCCAAGATACGGCGGCCGTACTGTAGTAGCTCTTACCCGCGACGTCGCTCCCGTCATTTGACTACCGACCCTACTCTACCTAACCTACACAACCTACTCTATCCCATCCATTGTTAACGGGGGGAAACCTTCAAAAATCGCCTAGCTTTTGGGGAAAAACTACTCTATCCCTACCCTACCCTACTCTACCCTATGTCTTTCTCCCAGTTCTTAGCTACCTCCCTACGTTAATTTATAATTTTCAGCCAAATCGGTTCAGCCGTTCTTGAGTTAACATATAATAAGTGTAACTAACACGACTTTTTATTATAAGATTTGTACTTACTTCTGATGTACTTGGCTCTCAACGGTATGTCAATGTTGAGGAGCTTCTCGACTGCCAAACTGTAGCATTGTTCGTTGCACATCATGGAGACATAGTCCAGTCGGTCGAAGTAAGGCAACGCCTGGGTGTAAGTCTTGTATTCTATCAACTTCTCAGTGCCACGGTGTAGGAGGCCAATGTGAGGGTCTGCTGCGCGTACCGTCTGTGAAATTGTCAAATATTAATGGCCGTTACCTAATAGTTAAATGTAAATAAGTGTGAGAGAGCGATGGTTTGGCACGAATGGATCGGCTCGACCGGAGTGATACCACGGCTTCACAGAAAACCGGCGTGAAACAACTGGAGCGTTGAGTTTCAGCGTATGAGTAAAGTAACCGAAGCCCCAATCTCCGAAACCCTAATCCCCAAAAGGCCGCCAACGCACTTGTAAATTCTGTGTTGTAGCGAGTGTTCATGGGCGGCGCCAATTGCTTCATCATCAGACTGTTGTCGTCCATTGCTGGACATAGGCCTCCCCAATGCCCATTGCTTACCATAAGGTAATACGTCAGTATAACATAAAAAATATAAGAGTTCGTAATATTTATAAACTATGTTACACGAAAGTTTATTTAAATAAAATTAAAACAAAGTCGCTTTCTCTGTCCCTATATCCCTATGCATGTTTTTTTTAACCTACGCAACGGATTTGGTACGGCTTTTTAAAGAGACACAGTGATTGAAAAGAAACCGTTTTCTATATACTTAGTCGGGTCATAAGTTCTGTCACAAACTTTTGATGTAATAACTTATACGCCTTTTGACAATTATTTAAAAATTATATATGAAATGAAAGGTCATTAAATGTACAATATAATTTTATTTACATTATTCGAAATGCCCTCCCCCATTTTGAACACATGCCCTTAATCTACGCGGCCAGTCATCGATCGCTGCACGCACCACATTCATATCTATGTCTGCCGCTGCTTTAACCAGAGATGCTCGGAGAGACTCCAAATTCGGGTGAGGTTTAGCACAGACTTTTTCCTCCAAATATTGCCATATCTTGTAGTCCAGTGGGTTTAAATCTGGACTAGAAGAGGGCCAGTCTTCATGCCGGATGAAGTCAATTCCACGAGCGATCAACCAGTCTTGCGTACTTCGTGCCTTATGAGCCGGTGCAGAGTCCTGTTGGAATATCCAATGCCTGTTCCTGAACATTGTCTGAGAAAGAGGTTCCACTATGTTTGTTAGGACAGTATTTTGATAAACTTCGGCACTAGTTCTCACACCTTTTTCACAGAAAAACACCTCAGTTACGCCTGAATATGAGACTCCAAGCCAAACCATGAATGAGGAAGGGTAATGCCCACGCTGGACCCTCGCAATACGCGCGCTTGCTTCTTCACTGCTGTGGGCATACACCTTATCATTTTGTTTGTTAAAACTTTCTTCAATAGTAAAAATTTTTTCATCCGAAAAAAGAATTTCGCGGTATTTTTTTCCCGCGTACCGTCGTAGCAAAGCGCGGGATCTGTCTAGCCTAATTTTTTTTAAACGCTCGTTCAAAAAATGTCCTGTCTTTTTACGATAAGCTCGTAGTCCCAGGTCTTCATTTAGTACTCTTTTAACAGTGGTTCTGCTTAGCCCCATCTGCAGAGCTAGGATTTTTTGTTTACGTACGGGATTTCGTTCGATTCGCGCCTTCACTGCTTTGATGACCTTATGTGTCCGAACTGTGCGAGGTCGGCCGCTTCTCTTACGATCTTCGAAGCTTGACTCTTCGGTGTATCGTTTGATAGTACGATAAACAAACCGTAACGTTATTTTCAAATTTTGAAGAATATTGAAAATGTCTTTTGGCGCGTAACCACAGCGGTGCAACGCGATAACCGCGATTCTGTCTTCTTTATTCGACCACTCCATATTTAAAAATGAATAAAAAATAATTTCTTTTTTATTTTCTACAAGCGCGAAAGTTCTATTTTTAAAATAAGTCGAAGAATTTCTGGCCAGTAATCGAAAATTAAAAATATAAGGTTTTGACAGAACTTATGACCCGACTAAGTATAATAACATCCATTTAATAGTGGAGAAATTTAGTATCAGCCTCCACCCGTGTGAAGCCGGGGCGGGTTGCTAGGAAATACATTAAAACAAATGAATGTTACCCACCTCTCCGTCCAGCTCAAGCACGAGCCGCAGCACTCCGTGAGCAGCTGGATGCTGGGGTCCGAAGTTCAGCACCATGTTCCTGACTTGTTTCTCTCCGGGGGGCACCAAACCTGTGCAGAGAGATTAATTATGTTTAATAGAACAGAGGCCTGACTCAAAAAAGAATGAATCCTTAATCTTTTTACTTATGTTTCAATGATAAGGTTCAATATTGAATACTTTCTTTTGTAACTTAGTTCTGTTTTCTATTAAACATGTATATTATAAATACACTACTCACATTGTCAGTCTACATTCTAAAACTAACCTAAGGAAACATATTATCGTTTCCGTTCACGGGACCACAGGATCCCGGACCTTTGGAAGGCGTACGAGGGGTCGAAGCCAATACGCAGAGGCCCGTTGAACAACTTTAAGTGAAATGGGACATTAGCCGGTAGTTATCCCTGTATGTGTTATAGGCAAACTCCGAAGCTCCGGCGCTCCTAGGTTGGACTGGTCAATCCTCAGGTCAGACTGAATGACTTAGTCAAAGCCCAAACAAATGTAAATTTTCGGACTTTGACTAAACAATTATCGTCAAACCTGGGAGCGACTAATTTGGTCAGGCAAACGTCAAAACACAATTTTATTAAATCGGGGTTTGACGAGTCAAACTCACTAATGCCACACGGCATTCTTTTGTACGATATGCAATAAAGGATAAAATAAATAAATAAATGCTTTGGAATATACGGAGGTTAGTTTGTAAGATTAGGTATATAAAAATTACATTTTTTAAATTTGATGTTTATTGTTTTAATAATTTCTTAAGTAATTAAAATGGAAAATTAATGTTTAAACATGTTCAGATCAACGTTTGACCAAGTTTTGCAGTCGCTTCTAGGATTGACTAGGCCAAAACCGAAACAGAATTATTTACTTTCGATGTTTGACTGAAAAGTTAGGAACTCTTGGGTTTGACTCAGAGAATTATTTAAGGAATCTAAAATAATGACAGTTGCCTCTCAATATATTTATGAAAATGTATTTCACGCTCATAAAAACAAAAGCTTATTTAAGAAATATAGTGATATACATAATATCAACACGAGGGGGAAAAACAAATATGTTGTGCCTGCCTCCAGGCTTCAGAAAATAAGTAGTTCGTTTAGGTGTCAATGTATACGCTTTTACAATAAAATTCCTAGCGATATTCAAAATTTGAGCCTCAATAAATTTAAAAGTGTAATAAAGGCTAAACTTTGCTGTAAAGCATTTTATAAAATAAAAGACTACTTAGAGGATAGTCAGGCTTGGGAATGAGCCACTGTAATGTCTGCACAGGTCATGTTGACATGTTTGTAACATAAGTTCTTTCTTTTCTTTTCTCCTTAATGGCAACTGAGTCTCCAATGTTGTCGACTATTCTGCCAGTGTCGAGTTGTGACGGGTGACGGCAGTTTTAAGACCCGTCGAACATTGACTTTGCGGTAGTTTATTGTTAGTAGCTAGAAAGACAACACACTTGGGTTAGTAAACATTAAACATAGATAAATATACAATTAATTTATACGAATTTTAATTAAACATAGACAGTCATGTAACATAAGTTACACTTTTATATACAATTTGACATTACATTTATTTTTTTATACAATGACATGATCACCTATTGTGAAATTTTTATTTTTTATTTTGACATTTTTTTTTATTTATTTGTTGACATTTTTATTATTTTATATTATTGTTAGTGTAAGGACCGTGTGAGACTTGTTGTGCTTTTTGATCACCAGTCATCTGCGTTCTGACAGTTTGAGTACTTGCGCGACCCACCCAAATGTTCTTTTGATCGGTATTGTTCGTCGGACAACTCAACAGCACTAGCTATACTGGTTGCAAACTGACACTTGCGTGCCTGTCTTCAGAACGGGTCCACTTAAACTGGTGTGGTTCTTTCCTCAAAAGACCACTACAGAATGAACTTGCACGGTTCTCTCACATTATGTTATTTTATATTGTCTGGACTTGAAAAGAGACTGACCTCTGAGTTTGTTTCGGCATTTCTTCTCAGAGTAGTCAGATAGGAAATGCCGGCTTCATCTAGTTTTTCACATATAATTTGACGTGTAAAAGTGCCGTTTTATGGCCTATTTGCAAAAATAAATTCATTGTTTCATTGTTTGTTTCATTGACTAAAAATACTTCAGGCAAAGGGCGAAATTGAAATATATTTTGGGGATTGCCTGATGGCTTTGACCAAACCTAAGATAAACCAGTCCTTCCACGAAGAGACTGTGTGTCGGACTTTGACTATAACATATGCACAAAATAGCCTTTTTTTCACTAGTTGGCTATATTGGCAAAATAGCCTATTTTTTACTAGTTGGCTATATTGGCAAAATAGCATATTTTTCACGACAATGGCTGCCAAAATATTAACTACGGCAAGTACCAACTACTCACCATGGTAAGGTGGATGTTTCAGCAGTGAGGTGACCTCATCAGGGTACATGACAGCCCCATCAAACTGCTTCACATACTCCGCATCTGGCATCCATCTGTGTGCGTTACGTTGGCTGCTGGAAGAGAGAATTATAATTAAGTTTATCCTAGAAGCATTAAAACCTAGTACCTAGTTACCAGAAAAGGGTCATATTTGTTATTTCAGACTGTAATTGACCACTGTGCCAAATTTCATTAGAGTTTCTTCAGTATTCAGTTTTTAATTCTTTCCTTAGTTTAATGTTTATGTTTACATATGGTGAGTGATGTGTACATCTTTTAAAGATATACATAAAAGAACTCTGTCTCAGTCATAAAAATAAGAAAATGTATTTTATGTATATTGTGTATGTCATGAAATTTGGAAAAGTCTGAAGAGACTAAGTGAGATTTACCTAAATTGAATTTAATATGCTGTACAGTATTTTTGTCCATCTTACTAAAAAAATTACATGCATATGTATAGTTAAACCTATAGTTGTGGATACATAAATAAATAAAAACTACATTATACATGTTGAATAAGAGTGAGCAGAATTAAAAGTTTTAAACTGAAAATGTATCAGTCAATGGGTCCTCCAATAAGAACAATTTGATAGTGTTATTGAGAACAAATTTGGAGTTTGTTTTGCTAATCTAAAGATCAATTCTGGAGACTTCCTACGAATTAAGAATAACTTTTGATGACTCATTCAATTAATAAGTTTAAATCACTAACAGGAATGAGCTTTTAATGAAAAAATACGTAATATTTCTAAGGTTTTTAACCTCAAATGTTACATAATTTTTAAATCATGATTTCAGCCTAATTATAGTTATAATCGATGTTCTATTGTAATGAGCACTCACTTCACATTATAAAGCGCTGGTAAGTTCTTTGTTAAGGCCGCTGTTTGGCCCAAATTTGCGGATTTTCGCAGCAAAACACTGAACATAGAGGCCATTTTTGACGGGACTGCGTTCCGTTCGAAAATGACCGATAGCGAGACATGTCATCAGTTTGACAGCAAATGTATTGATCAACAACGTCTGAAAATAACATGAAGATTTTACAATGAAATGTAAATATTTATTTTTGTTTTCAGTTTATGTTTTTTTTTTACATCAATATTTTTTTTACTAAACAGTGTTTGTTTATGTAAGCTTAAGTGAATCGCAATAAATCATATTAATTTTAAACAACAGTAGTGTAAAGGATCTCTAACGTCCATCAGCACAGAGCATAGTCAGTGTTAATTTAAAACCAAGACTTTTAATCCCCAGAGATAAAAAAAATATAATGTAGGCTTCCTACTCTATATAATTGTCAAAAAGTTTCATTTGCCATTACAGATAGCCTAAATCTTGTGCGATATGGTAAATTACAATCAGCTTTTCTTACGTATACCTTATCTAGCATAGATACACAGTACGAGGCTCTTGTAAATCGTACCGGCGTCGTGGCGGATACAATCGAATTATTCATAAGTCGATTGTATCCGCCACCATCTTGAGATTGTGCAGCGCGCGAGTCAGTTGTGCTCGCTAAAACAGGGGATTTTTAGATCACATATTATTAGTAACACCACCAGAACCTCCGCTCGACTGCTTGACCAGATGCTGGTTAAACAGCCTCAGCGAAACCTCAAAGTGTTCGTAGAGATTATACCAGCACCATGGTAAGCACAGTTGGTGCTACTACGCAGCCCGAGCCCGTAAAGGGACCGAATCTGGCCAACAATGATGTGTTCGTGACAATGCAAAGGAGGAAGCGCCGTTTATGGAGCCTAACATCAAAATTCGTGCCGCCAAACAGGTGTACATCTTCCTCCTCCCTACATGGCACCACTAAAGTGGAGGACATCTTGGAGTACGTACGTCAAAAAATAAAGTATGCCAAGGGTGCAGCTGCTGGAGTCGTGCCATAACGCGAGTGCCGACGCGTGTCCTGCACTATACAGGACGTGGTGTCTTAAATCCCTTATGGGGCCAGCAACGCACTTGTAGTAACTCTTTTGGTACTACGAGTGTCCAAGGGCGGCACTGATTGCTTACCACCAGGTAATCTGTCTGCTCGTTTGCAAACCTATGACTTAAACAAAAGTACTTAACCATATTATTCTGAAGTGTTTGCTGCGACACAAGTACGTCGTGGTCGACTGTGTCGAACATATTCTTAAAGTCAAGGTAGGCTACATTTATATGAAGCCCAGCGTCAACAGCTGGTACCGACTGCGGCATCGGGCAAAGTCGGTCCCTCACAATATCTACCGCGTCCAGGACGGAAGCCATGCTGCATATCATACAAATGAAGGGGGCAATGGTCACATCGGGCAAAAAGGGAATAACAACGGTATTTTTTTACAAAGCATACCTATTCTACTCTTTTTCCAAAAGAAGTAAATCATCTAATGAGTCCTTTGGCAAAGGATGGGACGAATGGGAGTGACAGAGTCCGTCAGAGTCACATATTTATTTATTTATATATACTTTATTGCACACATACACCAAGTAGCAATACATTGGATACAATGACCGAATGTTGTGGTTACAATGGGCGGTCTTATCACACAAGGTGATTTCTTCCAGACAACCTTTAGATGGAATGTATAAGAAATTTGGCGATGGGTAGTGTAGTGTACGGTTAAAATAAGTACTACATAAAGAAGATATATTATAAAAATAAACAAATGTGTAAATATAGTTATATCATTATATATATATATACATACTAGCTGTTACCCGCGGCGTCGCTCCCGTCATTTGACTACCTACCCTACTCTACTTACCCTACCTGCCCTTCCCTACTCTACCTACCCTACTGTTCCTACCCTACTATTCCTACCCTACTCTACCTATACTACTCTACCTACCCTACTCCACCTACCCTACTCTACCTACCCTTCTCTTCCTACCCTACTCTACCTACCCTACTCTACCTACCCTACTCTACCTACCCTACTCTACTTACCCTACCTGCCCTTCCCTACTCTTCCTACCCTACTGTTCCTACCCTACTATTCCTACCCTACTATTCCTACCCTACTCTACATACCCTACTCTACCTACCCTACTCTTCCTACCCTACTCTACCTACCCTACCTACCCTACTCTACCTACCCTACTCTACCTACCCTACTCTACCTACCCTACTCTACCTAACCTACTCTATCCTATCCTATGTCCTTCTCCTGGCTCTAAACTACCTCCCTGCCAATTTTCAGCTAAATCGGTTCAGCCGTTCTTGAGTTATAAGTGGTGTAACTAACACGACTTTCTTTTATATACATTCAGTCAACAAAGTATCGGGAATGAATGTTTTTTTTTATGGTTCCAAATTCGAATTTTATTTTTTTTTGTTGTTGTTAGATTGGCATAACTGTTTTCCATTTTGGCGCGGAATTTGAGTTGCATCTGTTATTTATATTAAAAACAGCGCTGTTTTTAGTTTTATAATATCTAGTGTGTATTGCGGATTTCATAATGGTCAAAAACATCGAACAAAGAGTTTGTCTTAAATTTTGCATCGCCAATGAAATTTCGTGTTCGGAGGCACTCAAAATGTTACAGAAGGCTTACGGTGAATCGACTTTATCAAAAACACGTGCTTATGAGTGGTACAAAGCGTTCAAAAGCGGTCGAGATGTGATGGAAGATTAGCCTCGTTCTGGTAGGCCATCAACGTCTGCAACTGAAGTTAACATCGCAAAAGTGAAGGAAATAGTGACTGAAAATCCTCATTCAAGTTTGAGAGAGATGGCCGCCGAACTTTCTGTATCTCACGAGTCGATCCGTACCATTTTAACAAATAATTTGGGTATGAAACGTGTTGCCGCTCGGCTAGTCCCAAAAGACCTGAATTTTCTTCAAAAACTAAATCGCATGAAAGTAGCTGAGGACATGCTAGAACGAGTCAATACCGACCTAACATTCATGAAACGCATTGTTACTGGTGACGAGACGTGGGTTTACGAGTTTGACATGCAAACTAGTCAACAAGCTTCGGAATGGCGCCTTCCAACTGAACCAAAACCAAAAAAACCACGTCAAATTCGATCAAAAGTCAAAGTCATGTTGACTGTTTTCTTTGACTATCGAATTCACTCAGAATTCTTGCCCGAAGGTCAAACGGTAGATAAAGAATATTATTTGAGCGTTATGCGGCGTTTAAGGGAACAAATTCGACGAAAAAGGCCAGAAATGTGGAAAGAAAATTCTTGGATTTTGGATCACGATAATGCGCCTTCGCACAAGGCCATCATTGTAAACGATTTTTTGTCCAAACACTCAACAAACACCATCGAGCAGCCACCATATTCACCAGAGCCATATCTGGTGAATATGGCCAGCCGACTTCTTTCTTTTTCCCACACTCAAATTACCCCTTCGTGGCACCCGTTTTCAATCGTTAGAAGACATAAAGGAGAATTCGCGGCGAGCACTGAACTCAATTCCGGAAACAGCGTTTAAAAAAGGTTTATACGAAATTCAGAAATATGATCATACTTGCGCAAACCAAATATAAATCTGAGACATAAGTTTTGAAGTCGCTCAAGCTTATCCAATTGTTCTTGGGTGAGATCTAGATAGCTGGCATCAGCATAGTCGATTATTGGTAGAAGAAGAGACTGAGCAAGTGCAATTTTGGTGTGAGTGGGTAAGAAATTTCGAAATCGCCTTAAGACACCTGCCGAAGCAAACAATTTTCGACTGACCACTTGCAAGTGTTTATTCCAGGAAAGGCTACTGTCGATATAAATCCCCAGGTTCTTAACGTCACGGGAGAAAGGAATAACGGTGTTAAGAAAAGAAACCTGAGGAAGATTCGCCCAGCTGATTTTAGATACTGCACGCGCACTGCCGACGATTTTTTATTAAGTAATGGGCAGGCATTTGGCCGCTATCACGCCTGGTGGTAAGCGATGATGCGACCTACGATGGAGCACGCCTACCCATAAGCAACCTATTCACTCATTCATTCCGGAAACAGACTCCTGCAAAGAATTTCACTCCTTAGTGGTTCTGATAATAAATCTCGCGGCAAACCGCTTCGTGCGTGTAGGTGGGATATTCACCATCAAGCGATGACGTTTTGCTATTATCTGGTAGTGAGTGACTAAAAACCAACCCTTTCTTTCTCCAGGCAGGGGTCGCGGTAATTCATTTACACCCATAACCCCGGCTATCATTACACAGATCTATACTATATCTTACTCTATTATAAATGCAAAATTTACGATGTTTGTAACTTAATCACGCCAAAACGGCTAGAGGGGTCTGGATGAAATTTGGCACTGGCATCGGATACACTCCGGAATAGGACATAGGCTTTTTATCAACATACGAAGCTAGTATTATATAATAATATAATATTATAAAGCTGTTTTCTTTATTATATTATTTATTTATTTTTTGTGAGGGGAAAATCATCAAATGACTGCTCTTGCCCAGGGCCGGGCGGGAGGGAGTGTCAGACTCTTACTGACTAAAAACCCCCCTGTTCCTTCTCCTGCTCTGTGCCGAGAGCTGCTTTCCAAGCTCTGTGTTTCTTTCTTTCTACTATACTGGTTCAAATTGAACAATTGTTTTTGTGTTTGTTATTGCATTTATCGAGGAAGGCTATAGGCAAAGACTATAAAACATCACGCTACAATCTTAAGGAGCCGAGCAGTAGCTAGTATAAAATAAAACAACCAATATTGTATTTTGTTTTCTTTATTTAAAAAGTTTCATATTCCATCTCCTAAACATACAAATCAGCCCAAAGGTTATACAAAAAAATCAAACCAAATTCACATATATTGAAATTCTTTTATTAAATATATAAAAGAATCCCATGTTGCTGTACATACAAAATGTTTGCATATTAATTAACTATGTTTAACAGGTTACTTTTAAATCTATTTGTCGAGGTCAAGTGTGAGACCACGGTCTCCCAGAAAACCGGCGTGAAACAACCACAGCGTTGTGATTCGTCGTGTGAATGAGGTTACTTGAGGCCCAATCTTTGCCCTCCCCCAATTCCTAAATCTCCTAATATCTTATCCCCAAAAGGTCGGCATCGCACTCGTAACTCCTCTGTTAATGTGTGTGTCCATGGGCGGCGCTAATTGCTTATTGCTTATCATCAGATAATCCAACTGCGCGTTTGCAGACGTATCACATAAAAAATAATATAATAGTAATCAATCGACGCCGTCCATGGATAATAGAAACGCTTGAGTTAAAAGTACGTTGACACCCGGCCTTATGAGAAATAATACCCTCATTATTTCTTACAAGGATCTGTGGATTTGGAGATATAGATAATGAGATGGGGGTAAGGAATGGGCCTCCGGTAACCTAAGTTACACGGCGAACAACAAAACTGATGTTTCACGCCGGTCTTCTGTGACTTCAGTGAGGCCGTGGTCATCACTCCGGTCGAGCCGATCCATTCGTGATGAAGCATAGCTTTCCCACATTTAAGTGAGTTTGAAACTACCCGAGGTTACCTCTTCAAAGAGTAACCGTAAAACATAAGAAATATAACATGTATAATGAGAGTTATATTACAAAAATGTCTGCTTATGTTTACAATATAATGTAACTTATAACTACTTCACTCGTTTTTGCTGTCTCTGCCGATAGATGTCGTTGGCGGGCGGCGCAACACCTAACTCATCATCATCGGAATCTTCACCGGCTTTCCTTCGACGTGCCTAAAACAATAAAAAATAAATATAGTAATACGGTTGGTACGGTGGCTGGGCAACTGGCTACCGTGCAACGCGTCGCGGTTTCGATCCCGCACGGAACAACTCTTTGTCTGATCCACAAATTGATGTTCCGGGTCGAAGTGTGATGTGTATGTGAAATTGTATGTTTGTAAACTCACACACAACATAGGATAAAATCCTAATGTGGGGCAACGTAAATAAAAAAAAAACAATAAAGTAATATTTTATTATTTAGTTTATAAGGATGAAACCTATCGTTTTTTTCCTCACAAGATGGCCATTGTTGACTGGGCATCTACACTAGATATAGTGTATAGTGTACACCCACACTGACCTTGCTGGCGACAGTGGTAATGCCCTCATCATCGACGATCCAGTGGACGGAGCGCGCCAGGTCGAAGAGTTTCGTATCGCAACCGTTCTCCATCGTAGGCGCCGGAGCTGTTGGTTAAATATTTAGGTATTTATTTATAACATTTTATAAAAGGTTTGTATTTTTTTAAATCATTTATGCACACAAAATATAATAAACATTTTGACACAATACGTATAACAACAAAAAAGGATATTCCTAAAGGAATTTCTTCTTGCAAATCTGTGCCAGGGAAATTAAAAATTAATCAAAAACGCAAGACCAGTGAAATTAAAAAGAGGGACAAAAATGTTGTTAAATAAAAATGACAAATAAAATGGGCACTTTTGAATGTTGACAAAATCACAGAAAACCGGCGTGAAACAACCACAGCGTTGTGTTTCGCCGTGTGAGTGAGGTTACCGGAGGCCCAATCCTTTCCCTTCCCGGATCCTTCCCCAATCCTAAAAGGTCGGCAACGCACTCGTAACTCCTCCGTTGCGGGTGTCCATGGGCGGCGCTGATTGCTTACTATCAGGTAATCCGTATGCTCGTTTGCCGACTTATTACATAAAAAAAAAGTTGAACAAAAAAATCACATGAGAAAGTGAAACTTTGAGTATCAGTCTGTCGGTCCGTCTTCTAGTGAAGCTATTTGCTCGTTCCAAAGTGTTTAGAAAAGAACGAATAAAAAACTCCATGGTTACTCTTTTCCAATCAGTTTTGTTACATTATTTAGTCGGTTCCATTATGTGAGAACAGTGTAACACTAATATTAAGCCAAAGAATCGGAAAACGAAAATAACACCAAAGGACAATATATTTAGACAGTCTCGAGTTGACCAGACCCAATTGATGATCATAAACTGACTTCTCTTGCCCATGGTGAGGGAGAAGGAGTGTCAGACTCTTACTACTCTTACGGTTCTCTCACATTATGTTATTTTACATTGTCTGGACTTGAAAAGAGACTGACCTCTGAGTTTGTTTCGGCATTTCTTCTCAGAGTAGTCAGATACGAAATGCCGGCTTCATATAGTTTTTCACATATAATTTGACGTGTAAAAGTGCCGTTTTATAGCCTATTTGCAAAAAGAAATTCATTGTTTCATTGTTTACTGGCTAAAAAAAAAATATGGCGCTTGAACTGGAAACTTAGCTGCCTTGTTTTAGCACTTCTTTGTGAGCCCAAAGAGGGCAGTACCGCCCTCTCACATAACATTACCGTGACGTGGTCATGTAATGTTAATATGTGCAGTCTCCTAAGTAAATATTTAGGATGCCTAAACATTGACGAAGAGCTCTCCTTCCCGGAAAGGGTGGAGCAACTGGATACTCGTCATCGTCATCAAAAACCAATTATTTCCACTTTGCGACGCAATAAAATTTAATGATACCAATTACATTTTTTTTTCAGAGTTCTTTAAATAAATATATGTAAAGATATAATATATCAAGAGATAGAAATGGGAAATGAACAAAAACAATAAGTGAATGGTACCCGAGGGATGGGAAAAGGAGCAAAGGTCGACAATCAAGACGATGGGAAGACGACTTAAAAGGAACTGTGGGACCACTGTGGATGGGAGTTGCGAGAGATAGGGATACGTGGAAACTATTAGAGGAGGCCTATGTCGAAGACAAAATGACAATAAACATACAGATAAAAAATTATGATATTTAAGAATTAATTGGTACTCAGAAATAAAGGCTCATTTTATTTTATTTTTATACTTGAATAATTTAATTTTTTGATAATTATACGTAAAATTTTTATGATTCGTATAATATCTGGCACCGCAAACTTTTCACCGTAAAAAAACAAATTTGGAACTGGCTCCTAGCGATCTTAAATAAAATTAAAATCATCATAAGAAAGAAATATAGACAAGTACTCACGTTTATCCGGCAGCGAGATCCTGTTGAATAGTTGCATGAGCCTGTCGATGGCGACGAAGGGCCCTCGGTAGCTGGAGGGCGGAGGCATCATCGTGCAGAGCTGCGCCGCCGCTGGAGGCAGAGGGAACGTTCCTCCTGCAGGACATACTCCATGTTAATACTGTGTACTTTTATAGTGTGGTACAATTATTACATTCAAGTGTTGGAGAGCCATGCTTCGGCACGAATAGGTCAGCTCGACTGGAGTGATACCTCGGCCTCACAGACAACTGGCGTGAAACAACCACAGCAGCGTTATGTTTCGCCGTGTGAGTGAGGTTACTTGAAGCCAAATTCTTCATCCCCTACCCAAATACCTAAATCTCCGAATCTCTTATCCCCAAAAGGCCGGCAACGCGCCGGGGATTGCGCTTGCAACCCAATTTTTTTATCGCCGGAAATTCATAAAGTGAATTCTCCCGCCCAGCTTATGGCGAGAGAGAGACTCTAACACTCGGTTTCTGAAAGGCTTGTCAACGCTAAAATTAACTAATCTACTGTTAAATCTCTTGTCATGTCATCTGATTGGTTGTTGATAATTCAGTCAACGAATCAGATGACTTGATAAGATATTAAATTGATTTTAACATTGACAAGACTTTCGGAAACCGGGGTTTAGTGACTAACCCCCCTCACGAGTTCCTTCTCCTGCTTTAGGCAGAGTCCAAGGTGCCACATTGCGCTTACCCCGCAACCTTGCAACCCCAGCTGGATAGATGTGTCTTTCACGTAAAAACTACTGAACGGATCTGAATGAAATTTGGCACAGGCATATATTATTATTATTTTTTTTTCGGCTTAGTCACGTAATAATTTGACGAGATACTCGACTAGTTTCAAGCCATGCCAGAGGCCCATATTCATGAGCAGCATTCCGCGACACGCGACGCGGCGACTTTCGCGCTACTACTGTGTGTTTGCCTCTAGCATGACTTGAAACTAGTCGAGTATCTCGTCAAATTATTACGTGAGTAAGCCGAAAACATAATAATTAATTTAGAATGTCTCACGAAAGTTATAATAAAAATAGAGATAGATTATAGTCTGAAATAACACATAGGCTACTTTTTACCCTAGCACTGCTGGAAGAAGTTCCAGGAATTAATCAACATACCTGGAATAGGATGTTCACCAGGCAGTGGGTTGACTTTGGGCTTGTATGGTATCATTTGGCTGGTGTCCGGTCGAGCAATATCCTTGTTGGGGTCATTGTCTCTGTAAAAAAAATATACATAAGTAAGCACATACATAATTATTGTATTTTCATCAAGATTAAAATATTTTTATTATAACTTTCGTGAGACATTCTAAATTATTTATTATGTTTTCGGCTTACTCACGTAATAATTTGACGAGATACTCGACTAGTTTCAAGACATGCTAGAGGCCCATATTCATGAGCAGCATTCCGCGACACGCGACTCGGCGACCGTCGCGCTGCTACTAGTCGAGTATCTCGTCAAATTATTACGTGAGTAAGCCGAAAACATAATAAATAAGATTAAAATAGACTGAAAAAGAAAGAAATAATTAGTTAAAGAGAGAGAGAGAGAGAGAGAGAGAGAGAGAGAGAGACAGAAAAGTAAATGATAACTTGATATACGCATATTTCTCCTAATATTCTTATGTTTTAAATTTTTACTATATATTATCCTGACTTGCCTAGTTATAATGTGATATGATTATTTTCTATCATAACTTTGGACACTGTAATTAATTTTGTTTGTTGAAAATGCATTTTTTTTCTTTATGTAATAAGTCGGCAAACGAGTAGACGGATTACCTGATGGTAAGCAATCAGCGCCGCCCATGGACACTCGCAACGAAAGAGTTACGAGTGCGTTGCCGACCTTTTAGGTATTAGGGTTTTGGAGATTTAGGGATTGGGAGGGATCGAGGGAGGGGAAGGATTGGGCTTCCGGTAACCTCACTCACACGGCGAAACACAACGCTATGGTTGTTGAATACGAATACATGACAATTGATGTATGTGATTAATACTAAAATCTTCTGAGGCAGATTTTAGTAGTACTAATTTTATTAAAATTGTAAACATATTTATTACACAAATTGTACATGAATAAATAAATTGATTTGATAACAAAGAGAGAGAAAGGGATATTTTTTTTTTCAAAATTATCCTAATAACTTGGAAAATTCCTCTAGTTAAATCACAAGCGATAAGCTACTTAATAATATTTTTACTTAAACTAGATAACTAAATTGCTATTTATAAGCCTTTTTGTGAGGGTAAAATCATCAGATGACTAGGGTAGGGAGAGAGGGAGTGTCAGACTCTTACTGACTAAAAACCCCCCTGTTCCTTCTCCTGCTCTGGACCGAGGCCGCGGTGACTCATTGCGCTTACCCCGCAACCCCGGCTGTGCTATTTAGAAGGCTTCACATATAATATATTACAAACTATATATGGTTGTTAATAACTTACTTTTGTCCGAGTATAACGGCTGCTAGTTCGGGCGATATCCCCGCTAGAGGGCCTCCCAGTGCCCACGACTTGTTCGACATTGAAGCCACCTACGATAAAATAAAAACAAAAATAAACATAAATTAAAAATGAAACATTTTCTCAATGGTCGTATACACAAAAAAGTAAAAGTGAATAATTTATTACAATTTGACCCTTACAAACTGAACTTTAAAGATGAAAAGTGTCAGTCTGTCGGTCAGTCCTCTAGTGAAGCTATTTGCTCGTTCCAAAGTGTAGATTCCTATGGAGAAGAACGAGCAAGAAACTCTATGGTTACTCTTTTTCAATCAGTTTCACATACAGATTCTTTGTTACATTATTAACTGGGTTATGTGAGAACAGTGTAACACTAATCTTACTTCTTACTAATATTATAAATGCGAAAGTTACGATGTTTGGATGTTTGTTCCTCAATCACGCCAAAACGGCTGAACTGGACAGATCTGGATGGAATTTAGCATAGGCATAGGATACACTCCGGAATAGGCCATAGGCTACTTTTTATTAATTAAGCCGCGGGCGGTAGCTAGTATTCTAATATAACCACCCACCGTCTAGTTTGAGATCACTTTGCAAAGATAAGAATAATTGGAATTTATTAGACAGACAGACAATTTTAAATATAGAATGAAAGACACTCCCTTTTTTATACGAGGAAAATATACTTCAAATATTAGTACAAAAACTCAGCTTTATGGTGTAGGTTCTGGTGATTTTACTTATATTCGAAGATGAGACAAGAAATGTTAATTAACTATGCTACTGCACACATCATCACTAAGTGTGGGAGAGCCATGCTTCGGCACGAATGGGTCGGCTCGACCGGAGTGATACCACGGCCTCACAGAAAACCGACGTGTAACAACCACAGCATTGTGTTTCGCCGTGTGAGTGAGGTTACCGAGGGCCCAATCTCGCCCCTTCCCCTATCCCTTTCTGATCCTTACATCCGCAACCCTATCCCCAAAAGGCCGGCAACGCACTCTTAACTCCTTTGGTGTTGCGGGTGTCCATGGGCAGCGCCGATTGCTTACCATCAGGTAATTCGTCTGCTCGTTTGCCGAATTATACCATAAAAAAACCATCAACATATCAGCCTAAGGTCCAGACCTCTTCTCACACAGACCATTTCACCATTCTTTCTTTTCTTTTTTTTTTAATAAAAACGTTGCCCCACAGTAGGATTTTCTCCTGTGTCGTGGGTGCGTTTACAAACATACAAATTCTCATACACATCACACCCAGACCAGGAACAACAATTTGTGGATCACACAAAGAGTTGTTCCGTACAGGAATCGAACCCGCGACACGTTGCACGGCAGCCAGTTGCCCAGCCACCGCGCCAACCGTGCAGTCATACCAACCTTACTCAAGAAAGATTCGTGATTTCAAACCTAATTACAAATTACTCCGCACCCTGTACTTAAAACTCTACTAATCTCCTCCACTCACCTCTGTATAACCGATAGACTTGAGCTCAGCGATGCTGCAAGGGTACAGATCCAAGAACTTGTATCTGTCAACCAGCTGGGCCGTCTCCTTGCCTTCGAACTCCTTGATCTGTAATAAAAATATTTAAAAAAAATACTTATTATTATTAAAATTTATGACTATTATTATTTAAACTTAAAAACAGTTTCAGTAAATTGGATAACAGTACAAATGACCCCCAAACACAATATGATACCATCCAAGAATGTATAAAAACAGCAACAAACAAAATAAAGACAAATAGACCAAAAACCAACAAACTTACTAATAACACAATATCGCTGATTAATAAAAGAACAAACACTGCTTGGCAAACCGACGATTACAAGAAACTGGACAGGAAAGTAAAAAGACACATCAGGAAAGATCTGAGAAACTACAGCACACAATTAATCAAAACTGCTCTAGATAGAGGTGGATCATTAAGATCGGCAAAAAATGGCATTTCGGGTTGTAAAACATGGCTGACGTGTCTGCGCGACAGAAATGGTGTTAAGCAGCATAGTAGAGATACAATAACCCACATATGTACAGACTTTTACAAAACTTTATACACAGTTCCATCGCGACCTTCTGAACCTATCGATTATCTCTGCCCGGATGCTATCCCTCCCATCAGAAGTGGCGAAATTGATTTAGCTTTTAAAAGCTTAAAATACAACAAGAGCCCTGGAGAAGATGGCATCAGTACTGAGATACTTAAATTATGCAAAAACACTTTAACACCCTATATCACGAATATTTTCAACTCCATTTTATTTTCTGGTCAGATACCAAAACAATTTGCCCACTCCAACATAATTCTTCTGCATAAAAAAGGTGACAAGACCGAAATCAATAACTATCGACCCATAAGCCTAATCTCCCATCTGTATAAGCTCTTTATTAAAATTATTCATAACCGCATCAGATTTCAACTAGACAAACATCAGCCAGTCGAACAGGCTGGATTTCGCCCATCCTTCTCCACAACTGACCATCTATTTACGCTCAACCAAATAATAGAAAAATATAACGAATATCATAAACCGTTATACCTGGCTTTTGTGGATTACTCTAAGGCTTTTGACAGTCTCAAACACACAGCGATCTTTACATCTTTACGCTCACAAAATATAAATGAGACCTATATAAAGCTTTTGGAGTTGGTCTACAGAGCCAGCACAGCTTCAATTAAACTGCTTTCCACTGGCCCACCATTTTACATAGAAAAAGGCGTAAAACAGGGCGATCCACTCTCTCCTAATCTGTTTACCTGTACACTGGAGGAAGTGTTCAGGAAACTCACTCTGTCGTGGACATCTAAAGGCATCGTCATCGGTAGTAAAAGACTGACCAACTTGCGGTTTGCTGACGACATCGTTCTTTTCGCGTCTACATCAGCAGAGCTCCAACAAATGCTCCAAGATCTGAGCAGGGCAAGCCTGGAGGTTGGGCTTCAAATGAACATGAGCAAGACACAAGCTATGACCAACAGCACGAAACATAGGATCGAGGTAGATGGGCAAGCTCTACACTATGTCGAGGAGTACATCTACTTGGGCCAGTTAGTTTCTTTCGATAACAGGCAGGAGAAGGAAATAGATCGCCGTATCGAGAACGCCTGGAAATGCTACTGGTCCATAAAGCAATATATGAAAGGGGACCTTCCCCTTTCACTCAAGCGAAAATTAGTCGACATGTGTATCTTGCCTGTCCTAACCTACGGTGCGCAAACTTGGTCTCTCACCGAGTGTCAGAAGTCCGGGCTCCGGGTTTGCCAAAGGGCAATGGAACGTAGCCTGTTGGGCATAAAACGGACCGATCGCATACGGACGGAATACCGTGATACGTTCCAAAACAGGAGTCGCTGATGTGGGCCAAAAGGCGGCAAAATTAAAATGGGACTGGGCCGGACACGTCAGCCGAATGCATCCAGAGAGATGGGCCACTATTGTCACCCAGTGGACACCTCAGGATGGAAGCCGCAGGCGAGGTAGGCCCCGGAAAAGATGGCGTGACGATCTAGACGCCTATCGTCGAGACTGGTGGACACGGTCGAAGGATCGGGAGGTGTGGAAGCGAGATGGGGAGGCCTTTGCCCAGCAGTGGGACAATATAGGCTAGTAAAAAAAAAAAAAAAAAATTATTTTAGTACAATTTCCCACAAAACCAGTTTGCTTGTACCGTTGTTTTATATAAGTATTTGGAGATTTAGGAATTGGGGGAGAGGACGGATTAGGCTTCCAGTAACCTCAAACACACGGCGAAACAACATTAGTTTCAAAGATTGCGACCCTACGTCCTAGACCCTACGTACAAACTTACAAATTTTAACTCTTTATAATATAAGTATAGATTAGCGGCACGTGTTTTGCACGTGAATCTAACGATTTTCCCTGTTGCTATTTCCCGATTATCCCCTGTACTTTCTAGATTTTTTTAAAAATAAGAACCATGTCCTGACAATTACAGTCATAATGGTTTATTTAAGTGTGGGAGACAATATAACTGTCAACAAATTACTAATCCAAACTAATATTATAAATGCGAAAGTAACTCTGTCCGTCTGTCTATTCATCACGCCTAAACTACTGAACCTATTTGTGTGAAATTTGGTGCAGACATAGTTTAGAACTCGAGACATAGGATAGTTTTAAACCAAAAATCTACAGGAAGTCACTTTTCCACACGAAGAGAGAGAGAGAGCCATGCTTCATCACGAATTTGTCGGCTCGACCGGAGTGAAACCACGGTCATATGGAAAGCCGGCGTGACACAAGTACATCGTGTTTGACCATGTGAATAATAATTGCCTGTCATAGAACGAAAACAATAGTAAAAAAATATTGGTTTTTCGTACCTTTTCCAGGACAGCCTGTCTTCTCTTCTCGACCTTGACAATACTGACTAAATCTCCAATGTTGGACTCGAACTCCAGGAACCGGTTCCAAATGTCCACCTGGCTCTCTGGTTTCAGACTCCCTGATGATAAGACCCTCTCGAAGAGTACGCGAGTGTTGTTGTCCTCTGAAAATAATATAGGTTTTTAGTAAAAATTTTTCTTGATTTAGTTGTATGATCATTATGTTACTAAGTTTATTTAGTTTAGTTTTTGAAAAGAAGTAAGCCCCAAGCGCACTTTACATTTTTATATTTCAATTGGGTAGTTTCTTAGGTCAAAAATAAATTGATTCGACGTTTCAATACAATAAATAATTGAAAAAAATAACTATAATTTTATTCATCGATCCATCAATTTTGGCAATTTTTTAAGAAATAAGTAAGCTTTTTGATGCAAAATACTATGACGTCATTAATTGGAGTTTCATACAAATTTCATAGAAAAGTATCGTTTTCGACATTTGGATATAAGTATTGAATTTGACTAGTTGGAAACTACCGTGTTGTAATTAACATTTTTTTCTAACGTTGCCCCACAATAGGATTTTCTCCTGTGTTGTGCGTGCGTTTACAAACATACAATTTCACATACACATCACACCCAGACCCGGAACAACAATTTGAAGATCACACAAAGAGCTGTTCCCTGCGGGAATCGAACCCGCGACACGTTGCGTGGCAACCAGTTGACAAGCCACCGCGCCAACCGTGCAGTCGAACATTATCTGATCAATTATTATTAGTACCACTTATAAACCTACATCAAATCAATAACAAAACAAATAAACCAATTTTTTACTCCACTAGATGGCGCTCAAATCGAAAATGGTCACCCAAAAAAAATTCAAAAACTCAAAATCGCGGGTAATTATACTCATCACACCTTCCAGGGGTTCTTCCTCATGGTTGAGAAAGAACCCCCACACCAACGCACAGTCGATCCAGAACGTCACTAACACAATTACAAACTTAACGGCTTTTTTTGCCTTTTTTGCGGTTGGTAAAATACTCGTGGCGCCACTGTCCATACATTTACATACACGTTTTTTAGTTCCACCATTTCGCCACTTGTGAGCCAGAACCCCCAATTAATAGCTACTTCTCTGTAGTTCGAAACAAGTAGAGCTTTTCTCAATTACAAACGTGAGTAACCGGCGATTTTTAGTTAATTTAATATGTCTCACGATAGTTATTATAAAACATTCGAAAACTCACCGTTTAAATGTGACAGATAGTCGATATAACAGAGTACATATTCAGGTATGTGGGAGAACTTCTTGAGGCCCAGCTCGAAGATACGGAAGGCTATATTTTTATCCTTTGAGCAGTAGTACTCCATCAGGGCTGCAGCTACAAAAACGTGGTAGCGGGACCTGCAGAAATATTTTTTTTTATGTAATAGATCGGCAAACGAGCAGACGGATTACCTGATGGTAAGCAATCAGCGCCGCCCATGGACACCCGCAACGTAGGAGTTACGAGTGCGTTGCCGACATTTTAGGGATTAGGGACTTGGAGATTTAGGTATTGAGGAGGGATTGGGGGTGGGGAAGGATTGGGCCTTCGGTAACCTTACTCACACGGCGTAATACAACGCTGTGGTTGTTTCACGCCGGTTTTCTGTGAGGCCGTGGTATCACTTCGGTCGAACCGACCCATTCATGCCGAAGCTTGGCTCTCCCACACTTTAATTTAATTTAATACATAGTCATATAGGGACAGAGAAAGCGACTTTGCTTTATACTATGTAGTGATTTAGAACGTACCTTGGGTCCTCCCTGGCCCTTTTGAAGACAGTCCTAGCAGACTTGATGCCTTCAGCTCGTCTTGCGAATTTCATGTACTGGACGTACGCCAGGGTGGGGTCAATATCCTCCATGTCCAAATAACGGGTGTATACTTGGTGTACCTGGGTGGAAAAATTTAAATATTATACTTTACTGTGAAAATATTATTATGAGCCCCGCTATATTTCTTTATTCATTTAATTTACAAGCTAACAGATGATACATCCAAAACGCTTATAAGATTAATAGTTCGGAACAACCTTGTAATTTTTGTTTAATTATATATAATTTCATTTAACAGATAATTATGTATTGATAATTGGAAAAAAATACATCGCAGTCCCTTTTTAGCATAAAATATTAAAATGTTATAGTAGTTACAATTAAAGAAAAATCATTTGAAATCCATTAAGCAAATGTACTAGTCCGTCGGCAAATAAATCTAATTCATTGAGCTGTGCAAGTATGTCCCCAATAGTGCGCAGTGCGCGGTTGGTGGGCGCATGGCGCGCTCGCTCGGTACGTGCGCGGGAGGCTCCAGAAGCCGCTAGTATGAAACTAGACGAGCTTGCTCGTATACGAACAGGTTACTTATAAAGCTGAACGGTAAGTGCAATGATTAGTCGCTTGGTTCAAAAAAGTTAAAATCACTTTTACTCCAACTAAACCATAAATTGGTACTTTTGAAATGTCAAAGTAGAATATTGTAGTCTGTCAGTCTGTTCGTCAGTGAAGCTAGGTGCTCATTCCAAATTGTAGATTCGAATGGAGAAGAACGAGCAAGAAACTCCATTAAAATTAAAAGCTTTCGAGATAAACTTCGATTATATTTAGTTGTATTAGTGAAACAACCACAGCGTTGTTTCGCCGTGTGAGTGAGGTTACCGGAGGCGCAATCCCTCCTTAAACCGTAACCCCTAAAAGGTCGGCAACGCACTGAAAACTCTTCCGTTGTTGCGGGTGTTCATGAGCGGTGCTGATTGCTTACCATCAGGTAATCCGTCAGCTCCTTTACCATCCTATTACATAACGAAAAAATTGTTTGACATTTAACATAATCTTACCTTATTGTAATGCAATCTGCTTTCTTCGTAATCAGCGTGGGCAAAGTGTAATAATGTTGACTGTTTCAGAGGACCGCTAGTCGCTCTCTCATATACAGCTGCTGCCTCGTCCGAGAACAGACGCGCGGCATTCGAGTCCTGTGCAAGGTAATAATAATATTCATCATCATCACCAGCCTATAAGTGGTGAATCCTGAACAAAGGGTTCTTCTGATATGGAAAATATTTGAACATTAATCACCACGCTTGGTCAAACCGAGTTTTAAATTTAAAAATATCCATGAATAAGAGTCCCTTTGATTCACCGTGTGACTGGGATTCGGTGACTCCAAAATCCCCTTATCCATAAATCGCTAAGAATCTACAAAAGACTTTAGTGAGCGGCGCTGATTACGGCGGCGCTTACCATCATGTCAGCTCGTTTGCCAACCAACCACATAAACAAGCACTCCTTTTTTTCAAGGAGGGTAACTCTCTCTACCATCTCCTTACTTATCTATGGGGCGAGAGGGAGTATCAGACTCTTACTGACTAAAAACCACCCCGTCCCTTCTCCTGCTCCAGGATACACCCGAGCGTACGGCGCGTAGCGCGCGCGCGCCTCAAAGAGCTAATAGACCACTACGGACGGGGCCCTATAGGGCTGATGTTTAGCCAGGCGCAACCCTGGCTGGGTAAGCGCAATGAGTCACCGCGACCTCGGCCCAGAGCAGGAGAAGAAACGGGGGGAGGGTTTATTCAGTAAGAGTCTGACACCCCTCCCGCTCGGCCCTGGGCGGGAGAAGTCATTTGATGATTTCCCCTCACAAAAAAAAGACCCTCAACTCCTGCTGAACATCAGCCTTATTGGGCCCTATGTGTGGTGGTCTGTTGCCTTTTTGAGGCGTAAGGAACTGTTATATCGGAATAACTATTCTTTAAAATATAAATTACTAGCTACTCTCGCGCGGTTTCACTCGCTGCTGGGCTCCATTTGATTGTAGCGTGATGTTTTATAGCCTATAGTACTTGGGAACATTGTAGCTATGAATAAGTGAAAGATTTTTTGGGAATCCGACCAGTGGTTCCAAAGATTACCCCCTACATACAAACTTACAAATTTTACCTCTTTATAATATTAGTATATAAAAACCGAATACCAATTTTGTAATACGTTTTATTAATTTAATATATCATTATCTTTTAGCATATTAAATAGTTTTTTTTTCTAAAGTCATCATCCACCCGCTCCGTAACAGAACCCTTGTCCTTATCCCAGCAAATGTGGATCCATTTGTGGATCAAAATTCAAGTACAACTCACCCCTTTCTCCTGTAACAACTTGGCGGAATGGTCCAGAAACTGCGCTGCCTGATGCCAGACATCCGGATGGTGCGCCAGGCAGAGAAGACACTGTTCTATAGCGAACATTACTCTTCGGGCAACCAGTGCCGTGTCTTCAGAACGAAGGGGGTTTGAGCGCTCCCAAGTTATGTATTTTTTCCATAGTTCCACCTGTAAATGTAGAGTTTATTTGAGTTACTTCTGTGTTATGACTGCAGGGTTTATATCTGTCACTACTTATAACCCTTCAGTGGGTGTGTGCATGAGAAATTTATTAGACATCGGATAGCTTGGTCTCTCTGATAAACTTGGACCCTTTTCGTCATTCACCCAGACAAGTACAGATTTAGGGCTGATTTTTCAATTGTCAGATAAATCTTATCTGAGGAATAAAATTGTTTCTATCGCTGTCTTATACAAACATTCTGACGCGACCGCATTATAATTATTCCCTACATAACTTTTATCCAAATTCGGCTCTTAGTCCATCATATCGATATTCAGTGACAAAAGAAAACAATACTTAGGATTTAATCAATTAAAATTAAAGACTGGGCAGTCAAATCAATAAATTGTCGAAATATGATAAAAAAAAAAGAAAAATTACGAGCTTAATTCTTCTTATTAGTATACCAAACGGATTTACACCAAATTAGTCACTATCCCCATTGAGTTAAAGTTTATGCAATTATGCCAACGCCTTCTTGGACAACTTGCGCAAACTTGGGCAAACTTGCGCTAACTTGCGCAAACCTGCGCAAACACAAAAAGCATTAGTAAGTACCTGTTTCATCTCCTCCCTGTCAGCTGTAGGTGGTGTTGCAGGCATGTTCCTGTTCAGACCTCTGGTAACCGTCTCCAGCTCCTTGGCCACTCGTCTGGCGTTCATGTATTCACGGGAACGCTCCATCGCCATTCGCTCAGCTGTAAAAGTTTATTACAGTTCATTACACTGTTCTCACATAATTGAAGCAACTGTTTGTATAAGGAATCTGAGGAAGAGTAACCATCTTCTCCATCGCAATCTAGACTTTTGAACGAGCAACTAGCTTCACTAAGACTGACCGACATACTGACACTTTATATCTTTAAAATTTGTTTGACGTTCAAGGATTAGCAAACTGAAGTGGCAGTGGGCAGGTCACATCTGTCGAAGAACCGATGACCGCAAAAGTGCCTGTAAGGGCCTAATTGAAACAAATGATTTTTTACTTTTTGACAGATCAAAAGCTGGCTTTTTTATAGGATAGGCCAGTAAAGAAGCAGATGGATTACCTGGTGGTAAGCAACAGATGTCCCAAGTGCGTTATCGGGTTTTAGTGGGTTAGTAGGGATTTTGGATTTTGGTTGTGATGGGCAACAAGGAGGAATTATATTAATGGGTTAGGCTTGACTTGCCTTTTATGAGTTGGTAGGATTTGAGAACTGGATATTTGGGGATTGGGGCTGATCAAAGGGGTATAAGTAAGCTTTAGCCGGTAGTGTTTACATATTTTGTCCAACAATAAGCGTCTTCTAAGTCATAATAGTAAAGCATAAACCTTAGCAAGACCTTAGATGCTAAAAATGGCACTTTTATAAAAGCTGATTTATTTGTTAGGGGGGATAGCCGGGGTTGCTGGTTAAGCGCAATGAGTCACCGCCGCCTCGGTCCAGAGCAAGAGAAGGAACGGGGGTTTTTAGTCAGTAAGAGTCTGACACTCTCTCTCGCTAATTTATAGAATCAGGCGTTACTTTGCGGAAATCCATGACATTAAATGTTAGGGAAAATATTTAGTTTTAATTCCGCGACAAAAATCCAGGCTTGTTGCTTATCGTTTTGTGTATGTGTGCATATGCACCTTGAGTATGCTTCTCAAGTTTGGAATCCTCAGTACGAGATCTACAAATCTCGTATTGAGCATGTCCAAAGAAAATTCATGAGGTATTTGGATTATAAAGCAAAACAATTTTCAAATGATTATGATCACCGTTGTAAACGGTACCATTTTTTGCCATTGGAAACTAGACGTAATATTAGTGATATTTGTTTTCTAGCGAACATAGCAAATGGCTCTATTGACTGTCCTGATTTACTTTGCAAAATTTTTATTCGGACAAATCAAAATAACCTGAGAAAAAGACCACTACTACAAGCACCAACTGCTTCTACTAATTACAGACGTAACGCCTTTTGCATACGCTCTGTGAAAGCCTTTAATAATTTAGCATCACATTTGGAAATTGATTTATTTAACACTAGTGCACGTAAAATTGGAGATATCCTGAGTAAGGACTATTTTGGTGACGAAAGGCAATAAATTCAATTTTAATGTCAAACTGCTTGGCACAGTGCTGACACAATCTCCTGGCTCTGTATTTTTATTTTTAGACTATTATGTTTCTTTTCTTGTTTGTTTTTTTTTTTTTTCTGTTTATGTACTTAACAAATACTATATGAGATTTGCTGATTGCTAACATATATGTGGAAGCTTTTAATTAGCAATTGTCCGCTAGCATAAAATACAGTATTTATTTTTGTTATAAGTCTGTAAGCTTTCTGTAAAATAAAGTAAATAAATAAATAAATAAATAAAATAAATATATGCATGTGGGCGGGAGGGTGGGACCCTTGCTGCATGTGCATATGCATGATTGCATAGGAGTGGGATTGCATCCTGCAACAAGCCTGGATTTTTGTCGCGGAATTAAAACTAAATATTTTCCCTAACATTTACTCTCTCTCGCCTTACCCTGGGCGGGAGAAGTCATTTGATGATTTTCCCCTGACAAAAAAAAGGGGGATATGTAGTCGTATTTGTAGATCTTACCGATAATAGTGTTGATGCTCTGTTCAAACGCGATGTAATCCTTCCATAGAGTCTCTATACCAATTATGGGTGTGATCACCGCTCTTTGGTATACCTGTTGAAGAGAGAAAAATATTACTTAAACACAAACTGTCAAGAACAAAGCAAACTCCTTTTTTTATGTAATAGGTCGGCAAACGAGCAGACGGATTACTTGATGGTAAGCCATCAGCGCCGCCCATGGACACCCTAACAACAAAGGAGTTAAGAGGGCGTTTTCGACCTTTTAGGGATAAGGGATTTGGAGATTAAGGGATTGGGAGTTCGGTAACCTCACTCACACGGCGAAACAGAACGCTGTGGTTGCTTCACTTGGGTTTTCTGTGAGGCACTCCAGTTGAGCCGACCCATTCGTGCCGAAGCTTGGTTCAGCATTTATAGTTCCTTACCTTCCTAACAGCAGAAATCTTCTGATTCTCAGCATAAGACCCCACAGCTTCCACACCCCTCAGGAACGTGATATAATCGTTCCAGATCGGATACGCGTGGATGTCCAGGCCGATTTTGTCAAGGGCAAAGTCGTAGGCTTGAGCCATCTTTTCCCTGGAAGAATGTTTTAGTTACTTGCGATTTTTTTATAATGATTGAAAGCGACCTTGATCAAAATGTTTTATCTGCATTAGCAATTGTTTTGGGAACTAAACTTTATATCGCTAGTGCAAAGTTTATTTTTCTGTGAATCCTGACAAAATTAATGGCAGATTAAAAGAATAGTAATAATTTTATACTTTTTTCGTTATTTTCTTCATTGCTATGGTAGCTCGGAGGTTAAGGTACCGCCTTCCAAGTATGAGGACGCAGATTTTAAATTTCGCAAATGTCAATGTAACTTTCCAAGTTTTACGAGACTACTTAATTTTTGAAATACTATTAAAAAAATTGTTATCCGAACTAATATTATTGCAAATGCGAAAGTAACTCTGTCAGTCTGTCTTTTCTTCACGCCTAAACTACTGAACAGATTTCTGTAAATTTTGGTACAGACATAGTTTGAAACTCGAGAAAGGACTTAGGATAGTTTTTATACCAAAAATCTGCAGGAAGTCACTATTCCACGCGAATGTAGTCGCGGGCAAAAGCTAGTAAAAAAGTAATTGGTTGTCTGTCAATACGGTTTACGGACGGTAGTTAGGCACATAGTTTATTACAGTAGCACGAACCGATCATGTCTCTCTCTCTTTCGTGCCGCGCTCTCTCTTTCGGAACGCGACAATGAGCGTAACGGGACAATGACGTCATCTTTTCCGTGCATGCAGTCCGTAGTATCGAGTTATCTATACTAATATTATAAAGAGGTAGAATTTGTAAGTTTGTATGTAGGGGGTAATGTTTGGAACCGCTGGTCGGATTGCCAAAATTCTTTCCTGCTACGTAGCTACAATGTTCCTGAGTGCTATAGGTTATAAAACATCACGCTACGATTAAATGGAGCCGAGCAGCGGGTGAAACCGCGTGAGAGCAGCTAGTTAATAATAATAACGCTAACAGGGGCCTGTCTTTTCTTTCCATAGTGCATACAGGGAGTCACTGTTTTATGTCCCATTTCATTTAGATTAAAGTTGCCTAAAGGGCTTCTACGCAGTTGACTTCGGTCCCTCGTACGCCTCCCAAATGTGCGACCTGTCCTTCCGTGGGGCGGGTCGCTAGTAATATTAATAAATTGAATTACGTACTTGTATGTGGGCAGCATGCACTTGGTCTCCTTCACGTAGTTGAGGTACAGTCTCCACAATTCAATGTTCAGAATCTTCATGAGACATCGCTGGAACAACTGATTGGGCGAAAGATATTATTAAATGCTGTCATGTAGCTGCTGGATTTAGGGTTCTTTGTAAAACTTGTTTTATTTGGCTATTCCGTTTAAAATACATATGTAAAAAGGTTTATTATGAAGTATTGTTTTCTGAGCTTTATTCCTTCATTTTCTTTACATAAAGGCTCGAGCAGACGCTAAGATCCAAGTTCCTAGGGCGAGTTTCTTCACGATAACCGTTCGTGCGTAGAGCTATCCTTCTCTTTACGCCCTTTAGCCTCAATAACCTCCTCACGCCCCAGCCACCGCAACACCGCGGCAACACAGCGCGTACCTCAAACAGACAATAGACCATCACAGACGGAACCTTATAGGGCTGATGTTCAGCCGGGGTTGCGGAGTAGGCGTAATGTGGCACCACGGCCTCGGCCTAAAGTAGGAGAAGGAATTAATAGTCAGTAAAAGACTGACACTCTCTCTCGCCTTCGCCTGAGCGGAAGAAGTCATTTGATGATTTTCCCCTCACAAAAAAAAGCTATGTCTATCTAATACAGTTCCATTTATTGCAAGTTTGTTTTTGTATAGCTTAGGTCGGCAACCGATCACACAGACCCCCTAATAGTAAGTAATCCGCAACACCAAAGGAGGTACAAGACCCTTTCCAGCCTATGTGGGTTCTTAGGGATTTGAGGAAATAGAGAGATGGGAAGGATTGGGCATTCATAAGCTTCAATGACACAGCGAAACGCTGTGGTAGTTGCAACCGTTGTTTTACACCGGTGTTCTACGAAGCCGTGTTGTTACTCCGGTTGAGCCGGATTTTGGCTCTCTCACAATGAAGATAGCAACGTACACATTTTAGTTTAAGTCTTACGATAAGATTACGTTCTAGCTCAGCCCTGAACCATATCTAAAGAATATGTAAGTTCACATTATCAGCCTATAAGTGACCTGTACTGCTGAGCGAAGGCCTCTTCGTACACGAAAAAAATTGCGTAGGTTCTAATTAAGTTATTGCGTTTTTGGAAAAATCTGCAATACGGCACGGATGTCTAGGTAAGTCATTATTAAGTATCTAAAACAACCTTCTCCTTTTTTTGTGAACAGAAAACCATCAAGTTACTTCTCTCACCGATGGTGAAGCCGAGAGATGATCTCCGGCCACCGTAAGCGCGGGTCTGCGGACGTCGAGTAAGGGTAACTCGCCGCCCGACCAGAACCAGACCCGAGCGCGACCTCTGTTCCTTCTCCTGTTCTGATCCGAGGCGGTGCATAAGTACGCTTGCCTCGCAAAAAAAATATATTCTATTTTAATAATTACCTAATGGTAGGCGTTAGGCGCGCGCATAGACACTCAACACCAGATATGGGGATAAGGGTTTGGAGATTTCGGGAATGAAGTGCGGATAGAGGGATTGGGGTAACGGCCCCGCTACACAAAGAAAGATTTTAGAACCCAAAATTCAGCAGTTAATTACTTTAAAAATTATACAAATTTTATACTTACGCTTCATATCATCATTTTGTCAAAACTTACCCTGTATTTGTCATCAGAAAATATTTGAAAAGAGGATCAAGAGGAAAATACTTAGGGATAATTTGTTGGAGTATAGTTTTATCTAATAAGGGGGATGGTTCTCTCCTATATTGCTTTACCTTGAGGCATCCCTCTCAAAATAATATAGTATTATATCTATTTAAATAACTGGGTTACCTACTGTACGACTCGACTGATCAAATTCATGACTATTACTTTGAATTATCAAAATCGACTATTTCCAAGAATTTTGATAAGTTATATGTCCTGACTGATGCGTCAAATAGCACACTTACTTTTTTATTAAGTAAGAAATAATGGGAATGTTTGAATTGTAAAATCAATGAGTGATAGTATGATAATTTGTGATTATTGACTGTTTTTTAATTCAAATTTATTATTAACCAAATCCAGATGTAATTAATGTATCGAAAACCTAATTGTTGTTGCTAGGGAGTGAGAAAATCTCCTTATTATAATCGTTTTTAGTCTAGCTGAACTAAGATACAGTTAAAAAAAATAGGACTCCATTATACCCTTTCTGCATGGAACCATAAACATTATATCTCTCTAGTTTTTCTTTTTAAGTAATTCAAGATTAATTCAATGCTATTATGCCAGTTATTTATGTACAACAGATACACCAGTATTAGTCCTGCATAAAACCTCGAAATTTGAAAAATAATGGACATAACCGCCATTTCTTCTAATTATCCCTTACATCGACAAAAGAAGGTCAAAATATATGTATAGTAAAATTAATTATAGAGGAATTCATGTATAGGGTAAATACGTGTCAAAAGTGACCTTTATTGGCAAATATTTAATCAAAAATCCATTTAATAATATTATAATTAAACTTTAACTTAATTTAAATCTTATACCAATGTAATTAAAATTCAATTTGCTTTGTTTACGTTTACAATTTGCCTCAAAAAGTCGCCTCCAACACGTCTGAACACAACATCCCTAGCCGAAAAAAAACATATATTTAATTATTTCGGTTTTATTTTCTCTTAACTTACAACAATCTACTTACTGCGACAATATCGAATTATCAGTCTTGTATAAATGTCATAAGGATTATATTAGTTTGAACATTATTGTGTGATTATTTAGATAGCAAGTCATTTTTTACATATGGATTATTTATATAACTGGTGAGTATATTATATAGCAATATTATGTCTACACCTATGCTAAAATCGATACCTTAATAGGCTAACAATCTAACTCCTTATGGGAAATTTTTCAGGTGACACTATTGAATTGGAATATATTTGTAACTAGCGGCCGGCCCCCGCTTCGCACGGGTCCAACTATCTCGCTATTAAAGGGTAATTTTTTCCTAATTCTTCCTTCTACTTTTCTAATATTTCCTTTGATAAGAACCTTCTCCTGACAATAACAAACACAACAAAAAAAGAATTAGCAAAATTGGTCCAGGCGTTGTTGAGTTATGCGCTTACCAACATATTTTGCGATCCATTTTTATATATAAGATGATGGTTGTTAGTGATGTAAATAAATAAATAAAAACTCTTTAACAATATTTGTAGACTATTACAGACTAAAAAAGAGATATAAAATACCGTAGGTACATATTAAATCTACATTTTTATTTTTAGTATCTGATCAGATCAGATATTTTATGAATTCTACTTTCAACACTCTAAGGGTTGATTTTTCAATAGTCAGATAATTGTTATCTGACGAAAAAAATTGTTGCTGTCACTGTCTTATACAAACATTCTGACGCGACAGCATCATAATTATTCCACAGATAACTTTTATCTAACCATTGAAAAATCAGCCCTAAAAATTGTTTGACGAAATGAGGACTTTTTAGCCAATTAAGGTATAGATTTTTTATTCTTAAATATTGCAACTGCATCTGCAGCTTTGTTATCATGCAATAATAAACCTAAATAAACACACAATAACATTAAAAATAATATAACAGACATTTCATTTATCACAGTTTAAAAATTATTTTCCTAAAGCGCTTTCCTAGTAAATATTAAATATCACAGCTCACTTACTATATATTTAATAGCTTTATAATGTACCAGTTTATCCAGAAACAATAATACTGACCTTTTCAACTTTTTCAAAATTCCTCGCTTTCATCTGCAATCAAGAAGATTCAATTATTTTAATATAAAAAATATTTTAATTTTGTTGTAAAACACTATACATTATTCTCAATTGAAATAAAAAATAATTGCATTATAAATTTTTGTGTAAAATTAAGTCCTGTTTATTGATATCAGCAGAGCTTGAGAACGGTTGGACAGTTTTGCTATTTTTGGGCTTAAATATTAGTGAAAGTACATGTTAGATTGGTAAAAGGGCCCAGAAAACTCAGAACAGAAAGAATATATTAAGATAAAGGTCCATTTACAAGACATACACAAGGAGAACTATTGTCTCTACATAACAAACCTCTTTATAAAAATTATGACATTTTAAGCTAAGATGGATAATTAAAAACATGGGTTGTTTAATTTAATTATCCTTCTTTTTGTAAACATACATTTTTGCAAATAATGATTTCTATTACAATAAATTATTTTTAAAAACTAAAAATAACTTACTACATTTCATAAAAATCCAAACTAATAATATAAATGCAAAAATAACTCTGTCTTTCTGTCTTTTCTTCACGCCTAAACTACTAAACCCATTTGTGTGAAATTTGGTATATACCATAATACCAATAGACACCTAACAATTAAATAAGAATTTTGGTACATATAAACATACCTCCTGTTCAATATAAATCTTCCAATATCGACCGGTTGTTGGAAATGCATTGATGAGTTTCTCGTACATAGGACGTACTTCATTGATGGGCCTCGTTTGAGCCTCACGTATGAGAAGGGACCAGGAGTCCACATCATAAGTGTTGGCTTCAACGGCACGCTGAGCCCTGCTCAGTCTTTCATTGCCCCAGTCCTGAGAAAAATTAGGATATTCAATTAAATATTTACATAATATTATCTTAGAATAGTTTTTTTAGTATGTTTATTTTTTTATGAGTTATAAATTTTATCAAGGAAAGTGGTGAAAACATCGGTTCATTTTGATTTTGATCCACTTTCTTAGTTACTGTGTTCATGCTTTGGAATTAATGTGCTGGCTCAACCTGAGTGGTATATTGGCCTCACAGAATACCAGCATGAACCAATGCTGGCTTGTTATGTGAGGCTACTCAAGACCTAATCATTCCCACAACAACAACAACAACAACTTCAGACAACACACTTGTTCTCTGAAGTTGTGAGTGTGCAAGGGCAGTGCCGATTGCCTACCATCCAGGTGATCCATCTGCACATTTGATGACAATGGAAAACCTGCATTAGATGATGTCACAAGCAACAATTCGAAGATTTGGAACCTCATTCAACCTGGGAATTATTTCACCCAAGCAATTTAACCCAAATCTTGGTTGTCCACATGCCAAGGCCTTCTCATTCATGAGAGTGCAGGTTCGAAACTTGGCAAGTACCTAAATGTGACTTTTGTAAGTTGAATGTATACAGTTTTCAAGTGTAAGGCACTACTAACAAACAGTGAAGGAAAACATAGTGAAGATGCGTGACTTCTAACTATGAAGTTGAAATCTCCAATTCAATTTAAACAAGCATGGTGATTTATACTCAAACATTCTCCGAGTGAGTCATCTCATAAAGAATGTTTGGGTATTTTGTTGCTTTTGTTGATCAGTGGGCACTTAGAGGCTGATGATGACGTATGATATACGAAAAAGCCAGTTGAACTGAGTCAACTCAAGTGATATTCTTTGGTCATCTGGGAATTAATTCAATGGCCGAGTGGTTGATGCAACAAGCGATCGGCGGCCGCTGCCACGGAAATTCCGACATGCTTGCTCGCCTAGGGTCACAATTTTAACCAAACCGAAAATAATTATGTCGGGGTGCCTGCCTAAATTAATTCCCAGGTAAAAAAACGAAATTAACACAAATGTTTCAACAAAACCGAAAGAAAACAAGAGACCGAAGTCAAAGATTATATTCAACTTTAAGTATGTGAAATCGCTGAAAATCAAAATGATTTAAACAAAAAAGTAAAGTTAAACTATTACATCAATTAAATACCATACAAAACAGCCATAATATTATAATTTTAACTTACAATTTCAGTATTTTCTTCCACAGCTGTCATTTTCGTACCGTACTTAGGTTATGTCGGTAAGTAAATATTAATTACAGCTCCGATATACTAAGGTTAAGCAAAGTAAATTAATCCCCGTTTTATACACTATTAATTAATTGAAAGAAAACGATGAACGAACAGTAAAATATGTAAAACAACACGACACCAAACAGACGCGACACATCGAATCACAGATCATCGAATAATGATAAAGAACCACAGATTACTATAAACAAGTCCGAGATTGCATAGACTATATACAGTTGTATTTGTATATTCGTTTTGATAATAAATTAGGAGAAAATAACGAATTCCATGAGTAAAATTATGCATTTTTAAATAATTAATGTAGTCTACATATGAACTAACAATATTTTTACTGTCCAGGTTATATTGTACCTCGTAGGAACCTTACTGTTATTTTTAATCTGTATCTGCAAAAGTGCACAATTTGACGATTGACAGTTTGACATTTGCATTTTGTTTGCAAGCCGAACCGAATTGAAGAAGGCGGTTTCCGGGTTTCTCTATCAAAATAAACAAAAATGTTGTTCTATTCCTTCTTTAAATCGCTGGTAGGGAAAGATGTGGTAGTGGAGTTGAAGAACGACCTCAGTATATGCGGTACATTGCATTCTGTTGATCAGTATTTGAATATAAAACTCTCGGACATCAGCGTCATTGATCCTGAGAAATATCCCCACATGCTATCAGTGAAGAACTGCTTTATTCGTGGGTCTGTGGTGCGCTACGTGCAGCTTCCTGCTGATGAAGTAGACACCCAGTTACTTCAAGACGCTGCACGAAAGGAGGCCACGGTTTCAACAAGATAAATATCATACATAACCTCTTTGGTTGAAGATGGTGTATTTTGGACTATAAAAGTGCGTGTGTACATACTAATTTAAGTATAAACTTCTTAATAAAGTTGATGTGAGCTTTTGGTAACAATTTTCTCTTTTATTTATCCTATCTTGCTATTTTTAGTAACATTTCAGATAAACCTGGGGTTAGACTTTCCTTTATGGACCGTCGATTTTGGGGTCAAAATGGGGGGAGGGGGAGGGTGAGGACTACCCCCCAGGCCAATCCCCACCCCGCGGAGCCCTATGGTTACGGAGATATCCATGGTCAAAGTTTGTTAAAATTTTGAGGTTAGGAAAGATTTTTCGGATAGTTTGTATGTATGTATGTATAACTTTAGAATCGTACCGCAGTGGGGAGGATGCCCCCTTCCCCCAGTACCACTCCCATGACAAGGCAACTCACAGTTGCCGAGAAATACGATTTTTTATAACCTTACCTCAAAACACTAAAAGTCACTTAATAGGCAAAGTCTACGCGGGCTCCTACTTCTGGGTGGTTTGCAACATGCAGCAGGCATGGCTTCTGTCACGGCTCCGGCGGTCCCACGCGAGCTAATCGTCGCAGATGGTTTTACGCCCATCACCGCGGCTTCGGCTTGCTGGCCGGCGAAGCCGGCCAGCCTCAGCCACGGCGATGTGCGTTATAACCACCTGCAAGTATAGTAAGAGGAATGAGAACTTATAGTGATGTAGTCTCAAAGACGCCAGTCCAACGAGAAGCAAGGGTATTCAATACAAATTCAATGGAACAGTCTGGCGAGATAGCACTGGAAACCAGAAGTAGTAAAGAAACGGCTAAAAATAAAAAACCTTTGAAGACCAAACAGAGAATTGAAACAACTCAATTTGAAGCGGAACAGGTGGTGGAGACAGAGAGTGGAGCGTCGCAGAAAGAAGAGGTAGAAAAGGGTAATCAACAAGATGAACAATTACGGTATAGATTTGAATTTACTAAACTAATATTAAAGATGAAGGGTATTTTGATGTCTGAGGACAAATTAGAGGCTAAAATTATTTCAGTTTTAAGAATGATTTGGGAGGAAATTTTGAAGGTAATACTATCTATGTTTTCTAAAGGAGATGTTATTGAAAAAATGGTTAATTTTATAAATGGGTAATAACGTTCATGATAATATACAGATAAATATACTGCAATGGAATGCACAAAGTCTACGGCCAAAATTAATATCTTTTAGGGAGCTTTTATATCAAGAAAATATACATATAGCTATTCTTAGTGAGACATGGCTTGATGATGAAAGTCACCTTAGTATTAGCGGTTATAATATATACAGAAAAGACAGGGCTGACTCTTATGGGGGAGTTTCAATTTTTGTTCATAAATCAATTCAATCTTGTTTAAATCCAGTGTATACTTCTAATTCGGGAATAGAAAATGTAAGTGTTAAATTAGTGAATTGCAAAGATTTAGAATATGTTGTAAGCGTTTATTGCCCTTCCTCTGTTCACACTCAACAATCTCACTGGGATGAAATTTTTGCAGCTTTTACAAAATCAGCCCTAATAGCTGGAGATTTTAATGGACATCACACCAACTGGTCGGTAAAATCTGATACAAGAGGTATGCAAATCATGGATTCAGCCCTAGATCATTCATTCGTTTATCTTAATAATGGAATGTCTACGCGAGTTAAACTAGTTAATGGTGATTTGCAACAAACGTCCCCGGATATTACATTTGTGTCTTCTGATATCGCGATTAAATTTCACTGGCAAGTGTTAAACGAAAATATTGGTAGTGATCACCTAATTATTAAAATGTCAATTAATATTATAAATAGTTTTAGCACAACAAAAAAACGAAATTATAAAAAAGCTAACTGGGTAGAATATCGTAAAACATTGTTAAACAGCTTCCTTTCTTACAATCATAACAATAACAATGTCCAAGAGATGTATAATTTTTTTATAAATCAAATTAATTACGCGGGAGATAAACACATCCCATACATTAAGTGCTGCTTTAAACCTACTGACAAATTTAAACCAAAAAGCTACTGGAATGTGGAATTGTCAGGAGTAGTGGCACAGAGAAGACTCGCTCTGTCACAATTTCGACGTAACCCTACGCCAGATAATTTAAGTATACTAGAAGAAAAAACAAAAGAAGCACAGAAATTAATAAGTAAAGCCAGGTCAATAGGTTTTCAAAATTTCTGCAATTCCATAGATCAAGGAGTGTCTGCACAGGAGATGTGGCGTCGTATGAGATGGATTAAAGGACATAGGGAAACAAAAAACTATCCACCTCCTGATAAACAAAAAGAATTGCTCTATTCACTTACTCCCGACTATGTTTTAAATTCTATGCCCACTTTTACTTCAGTTAATGAAAGTTTAGAGTGCAATTTCACTATACAGGAGCTAGAATGTTGTCTCAAAAAAAAAGATTCTGCACCGGGCGAGGATGCGATTTCATATTCGATGCTTTTTAACTTACCTGACGTAGCTAAATTATTTTTACTTAACATTTATAACAAAATTTTCAGTTCAGGTACTGTACCACATCAATGGAGAGATATCCAAATAATTCCTATACCTAAACCCAATAATAATAGCCCCGATATGAAGCTCCGACCTATATCTTTAATATCATGTATTTGTAAGACTTTACACTTAATGTTGTTTAAACGCTTGGAATGGTACACAGAGAAGAAAAGCATCCTTTCACCTCATACTGTTGGTTTCAGAAAATCTCACTCCTGTTTGGACGCAATTACCCGTTTGGTTACATACGTGCAAGTAGGATTTTCGAAAAACATTCCAACATTGGCATGTTTTCTTGACATTGAAAATGCCTATAATAATGTATGTGTTGATGTGGCCATAAATATGTTGGACCGACTAAACATAGGATCAAAGTTTTGTAAATATTTATGGTTATTTTTAAGTGAACGACGGTTAAAAATTAAATTAAATAATAATAATGACTCAATACCTACCAGATGGACCAATAGAGGCTTAGCTCAAGGAGATCCCCTGTCTCCTTTACTTTTTAATTTAATAACCTGTCGCATAGGCCAATTTCCACTTAATGTAGTCTTGTCGCAATATGCAGACGATTATGTGCTGTACATTAGGGACAAGAATATCTTTGAGTGTGAAAGGTACATGCAAAGTGCTCTCGATTCCATAGTTGGCTTATTGAGTGAATTGGGCTTAGATTTATCTCCTACCAAATCAAATTATTGTGTTTTTAGCAGGGGTCGCAGAAGAGTATTACCCACACTTAAAATATATAGATGTAATTTAAGATTCTCGGAATGCACAAAATACTTAGGTATATGGTTGGATAAAAGTCTACTTTGGGGCAAACATATAAATGAAATCATCAAAAAATGTTCAAAACTATTAAATATTCTTAAAGTACTTGCTGGCAGCTCTTTCGGAGTACATACAATACATATGCGTAGACTGTATATTGCGTTAATTAGGAGTAGAATGGATTATGGCTGTTTTATTTACGATTCTAGTGCTAAGACCCATACTGTAAAGCTAGATAAGTTGCAAAACCAGGCTTTAAGAATAATAGGAGGTTTTATTAAAAGCTCGCCAATTCATGTAATGGAGAGTGAATTAAATATAATACCGTTATATTTGAGAAGGCAATACTTAGCATATAAATATAGTTTGAAAATAACTTCATGGACAAATAATGTAACCGTAGATAATATTTTAGAGTTGACTACTCTTTGTAATACAAGGTATTGGGATAACAAAAGAAAACCTCTGCTTGTGAAAACATATAGAAATGTCTGTGAACATAATATTAATTCTGTTCGTATTCTTAGTATGTTTAATTTAGACGTATGGGTTACAGGGATTGATATTAGAAATGTAATTTGTGTAAATCTTAATAGTATTCAGTATTCTAAAACCCTTTACGACCCCAATATTTTAATTAACAATGTTATTGTCGAATTAAACGAGTACTATGCTGGGTGGCATAAAATATTTACCGACGGGTCTAAAAGTAACATGAGTCGAGGAGCTGGATTCTATGATAAAACCTTACAACATGAAGTAGGATTTAAAATTGAAAGTGATGTATCAATAATGACGCTGGAACTTATTGCAATACATGAGGCCTTATCTTACGGAATTATCCATCAATGGACGAAAATTGTTATTTTTTCTGATAGTAAGAGTGCCTTGCAACATGTGGCTCGTTGCGCCTCTGGTCGCAGAGGTACAACGATAGCCTATGACATCCTGAAAGCTATTATGATTTTGAATAATAGGGGTACAGACATAAAATTGCAATGGGTTCCAGCGCATATTGGTTTGAAGGGTAACGAGGAAGCTGACCGTGTAGCTAAGTCGGCGACAGTAGATGGTAGAATAGTTGACTACGCACCAGACTATTGGGAATTAGTACCTAGATTTAAAGCATTATGTTTTGATGACTGGAAACAAATATTTGACAATAAATCTAGATACAAAGGCGTTTGGTACAAAAGCATACAGGGTGAACTTCCTCGTGTCCCTTGGTTCGATGGCATTAACTGGAGTAGAAATTATGTTAAGCTAGCACTTAGGCTTAGATCCGGACACTATCCGTCGGCAAAGTTTGCTTACTTAATGAAAAAATCTAATTCTCCCAATTGTTCATTGTGTAATATAATTGAAGATGTGCAGCATTTGCTGATGGAATGTGTCCGGAATAAAGATGAGCGCGATTTATTGTTGTATGAACTGAAACTTAACAGGTTAGATATAGGCCTGGTGCAAAGCATTCTGGCAAACCCAAAATCTGAAGCTGCCAAAAAATTATGTAGATTAGCATTGGTCGCTCAGTAGGTAGTGACAACATATAAGCATATAAGATGTTGGTTTTCTGGTACTTATTAATTATACCTACATAGTTTTAATTGAGACAATATTGTTACAAGGTATGATGGGGTTGGCATATCCTTATTGGACAAAAACCCCAAATATAAAAAATAAAATAAAGATTAAAAAAAAAAAAAAAAAAAAACCACCTGCTCCTCAGCTCGCGGGCCGCCCCGCCCCTCCGCGCCTTCGCGATTTTAAAAAACACTCTCGGGGTAGGGCAGAAAAGAGACCACGTAAAGTCGGTTTCGCAGCAATTCATTTCTGTCACTAACTTTTGTAGCACATTAAAAACATTATGCCAAAAGACAATGTATTAATTATTTCAATATAACCTATTTATTAGGAAAACTCCAAAAAAAAAAAAAAAAAGAAGTCAACAACACGCGAAACGTCAAATTTGGCGTGAATTTTTCAATAGACTTTACAATTTTTAAATAATTATATCTCGTAAACCGTGAGTTTCCGCAACATAAAAATTTGTAAAAAGCCTTCTGTTAATGTGTACTATCTACAAAAAAAAAATGAACGCTCAACTCGACGGTCCATAAAGGAAAGTCTAGCCAAACCTGGTAACATTAAGAATGTGAGTTAGGTATATTATAGTATTATAAAAAAAAATGTTCTAGACCATCATGTGAACAAAATATACAAGTTCTATTCTACCAAGACAGTTGTCATAAGAAGTATTATGTTCAAAATAATCAATAAAACAATATTTTTTTAATGGGACAGTCCCCAAGCCTAGGTGTACAGAAGATATATAACTAGGAAAAAAACACTTAGTCATAATTATATCAGAAGTTATTATTTAATTTTGAGGAAGAAGAAAATCTAAATATATTCCATATTTTTTTATAAAATTAGACATTTCGGTAACATAAATATTATGTTGATAAAATATTCAAATGTTATTCCCTACTTAATATCTTCCTGCATACTTCTCAAGAATAATTCTACTAAGTTGTGCATACTTTCAAGTTAATTTAGAAGGGGAACCTTAGAATTTATTTTTTATGTTATGGTTTGTCAAATTAGCAGACGGATTACCTGACTGTAAGCAATCAGCGAACAAGAATAATGAGTTCAAGTCAGTTCCTTGTGCTAGGACAGAAAAACTTTAATCACCCTGTTATAGACACACTTTTTGTCAGGGGAAAATCATCAAATCACTTCTCCCGCCTAGGATAAGGCGAGAGAGTGTCAGACAGACTCTTACTGACTAAAAACCAGTTCGTTTTCCTGCTCTGAGTCGAAGCCGTGGTGGCTCATTGCGCTTACCCGCAACCCCGGCTGAACATTAGCCCTATAGGGCCACGTCTGCTCGTTTGCTAATCAACTACATAAAGAAAAATACAATTACTATTTTTTTTTTTTGAAAAAATAACACATACACTTTCCTTTTTTCTGCGTGAAATGAAGCGTATGAAGCTTTCTTTTTGAAGTTTTTTTGTTTTGCAACAACAGCGCCATTTTGATTGTCAGCGTATACATTTTCTACTAGTTTGGTAGATAATTTTAAGAATTTTAGTGTAGGAAAACGAAAAAATATTATTTATCAACGGGTATTATTATTTATTTTACATCAATAGCAAAATAATTCAGCACGTCCACCGCTGAAAACTACGTTTTCAATACAGACTTTTTCCGTCAGTTCCGATCAGTTGGTTTATACTATAATCGCGAGTTTGTAAGCAAGTACCTACCTATTGACTGAAGTTTGGGACAGATTTAAATACTTGTAGTCTGGAAAATATGTAGGCTGCTTTTACTTTAACACTATATACTAAGCCAGAAGAAGAAATTACTTTTACAATGTTGTAGCGAAAGTTATTTTATTGCATATCTTGATAACAGTTAGATATGGTGCTGGAGGTGTTTTTAAATTCTGACAAATCTACCTTTTTTTTATTTATATATTTTTGTCTGAGAAAGACTTCTTAAAAAAAATGTATAACGTCATCCAGATTTTCTTGCTATACTTTACCACTTGTTTGTATTTTGCAAGGAAAGTCCAAATACAAATATGAAACAATTAAGCTATTAGTTGGTTTTATCATGGGTCAAAAGCCGACGCTATTTAAGTTTGACTTTGAATCATTCATCCCAGTAACGTGTAATTTAAATAAAGAAAATCTAAATTCAAAACCTACAATTTAAGGCTTTATTGAACAGTAGAAATTTTGGTAGTAAAGGCTGGCAACCCCATCCTCATTTCATTCAACTTTTCTAAGCTTTTCGCCCTTCGCGTTTGGTATTCGCTATTCGCCACTTTGCCCGCTGTATTTTGTAAAACTATCGTCATTGTTCTGTATACTGTATTAACTGGAAATATTTTATTGCTCGTCGATTTCCGTCGCGAGTGATGCCTAGTGCCCGTTTGGTTTCGTTTCATAAACAAATATTCACTCGTTTTGATCCTGTGTTTTCTAACATGTGATTACAAATGTAAATAATTAATTAAAATTATCGCACAAAATGGACGTGAAAGGTTCTAATCGTGGGTGTAATGTGTGATTACTTTATTATTGTTGTGTTTGCAAATATTTGTAAGTGTGAAAGTGTATTTTTTTGAAGGATTTTGACATCTCCCGTCTTCTGGCTAGCCGACGATTCGTGCTGGTAAGTTTGATAATTCAATGTTTACGTCTAAAGAAATTGTTATAATCTTGTCGGAGCTTACATCTGCTTGCAATATGTGAGTTGAGTGAGTCATTTGTCGATAGAAGGCATTAAATATATTGTTTTATTTTATGGAAGTGAATATTTTAATGTTGGGGGTCAATTAGCGTCAATTACGTTGATTCAGCGGTCGCGGTAGGATTCGTTTGTTTTATTTTAGGGTTTATTTTTAGCCTGCATCGATGTTTTGTCTTTCAACTGTGAAATGTTTGGTTTATTGTGAGTGTAGAACTCCTGGTAGTGTTGGGTAGATGCAATTGAACCTATCTCGTATTTTATTTTGTGATTTTTCGCGTGTTTATGATGATTTCAATTTTTTTAAGCACTTGCTTTAATAATTATTGACATTTCACATTATTACATATTTACAATGCACTAATTTAAAAATACGGAGTACCTTTAATATGTCTAAAAATATGAAAATCCGTTGATAATATTTTTCTTCATAAAATCAATTCTTGCCAGTGCCATAGCATCCTATCCCTACTGGTATAACATTATCATGTCTATTAGCTGCTAGACACAGGCCTTTTCAACATCACACTAAAATTAATCTTCAACTTATTATAAGGAATAATAAAACAAAAAAGTATTTATTACTTTTTGCTTATCAGAAATAAATAAGAAATAATGTTAACAATTTAAAATACATTTTTAACATTAGTCCTCAGTGTGTCCTCTGACATATTCCTCCTCCAACTTATCCATTCTCCATTCTATTCTATTCTATTTCTGGCTGTTCTTATTTAAATAGAAAGAAGATGCAATAAGAGACTTGGTACAGGAAATTTCATCCCATACTAGATTCTGCTACCTACAGTAGCCTCAATATCTGGATAAAAAGAAGGCCATTATATGTTATTCCACACTATAATCTTAATTTCATCAAAATCCATTTAGTATTTTACTATGTGAATGACTAACAAACACACATAGATACTAAAAAATGTTATATATATATATAGATTAATAGGATTAAATTAAGTACTAGACTGTTGTGCGGTATCATCCTCTGCTTGGTTCCTATATGTTGTAGGATGATGTTTTATAGCCTTTAGTATTCAGGAACATTGTAGCTATTGATCAGTGAAAGAATTTTGGAAATCCACCCAGCAGTTCCAAAGATTACCCCCTACATACAAACTTAAAAATTGTACCTCTTTATAATATTAGTATAGATATAAAAACAAACATCTGTGGCTAACTATTGGCTGAGTCAGGTGCATTCCAGTTTGATACCATCAGCATCGTAAAAAATATCTTTAAGGAGACATTCTATGTAACTAAATACCCTTTTTGGCTTTCCAATCTGATTAAAAATAAAATTATGATTCTAATTAGCCATTTAAGTATGAATCTGCCGTTTATGTTATCATAAAATTTTTAACTTTATGTTTTTTTAACATCACATAATGTTATGTCATATTTTTTATTGCAATATGGCTTTGACTAATTATATTACTATATTTTATTTATGGATGCATAAATATACATGTACATACATTATAATAATTATTCAAGTATTAGGTACTGAGTTTGGTGAAATCTGTGTTTAGAATTGGATAGTTTATTAGGACAAATAAAATCTTCTTCTACTGTTAGAAGCAACAAAAAATTAAATAAATAATCATAATGTCATTTACTTATTGATTGGAGGATATTACTTATTACTTTATAATTCTTTTAAGCAAATTTTACAGAAATAAGTAAGCTATGTTATGCAAAAATAATGATGATATTTCATACATATAATTAAGTAATATTTAATAGGAAATATACAATAAGCAAATGGACTTCATAGGAATTCTACATAGTACGAAAAAAAGTTGATTTCGCAATCCCTATATCCCTACATATCCTAAGTTGTTATTTTTTAAACATTTCTTTCTTTTTTATTTGGGTAAAACCGATTCAAAGCTTAAAATAATAACTTTCTCATAATTTTATCATCTCAGTTATAACTGTTGTGTAAATTAAAATAAATTAACAATAACTATGTGACAGTTAATTAGCTGAACTTTATATTTGACTGGGTGAAAGTGTTTACTTGTAAAGGAGTTAGTAACAAAATAAACTCATTTTTATTAATTTTAAAGTCTTATTGTGAATGTTGCATTATATGCGGAGGATTTCTTTTCATTAAAAATTCTCATATGAATTTTAATACCACCTAAGCACTATGTTTAAATTCTGATAAGTAATTCTAATAGATTCAAATAAAAGAGAATTTAATTTAATTTTTTTGTGTACTATTAAGTTTAATGTATAATATTATTTTCCTTTTGTTTACAGCATAAAAAGCTTCAACTCATATTACATACATGCCATTTTTCTTCTGAAAATTATATGTAAAGCTATAAAATAAAAAAAACTTTTATATTAACTGTAATAGCTGTAGCTTTGTAGTTAAGTTCACTATCTATGGAATAATCTTTAAATAAATACAAATTACTTACTATTATTGATTATAAAGAATATGCAATATGAACTCATAATATTAACAAGGAAATAACATAAGTAATATGATGTAAATTATCTTTGTAAACAATGAAAACAAACTGTTTAATAATGAGCTGTAAATGATAATTAATTATATAATTTAATAATTACTATCATTATACTCAGTGTTGATAAAGCTACGTCATTATAAAATCATGTAGCATCATTACCATGTGTTGTGAACTAGGTAGATGATTTAAATCATTCAATCGTCATCATCATCATCCACAATTTACTATTGGACAATGGGCTTCCATCTATAGGAGGCTCTGCCATTTAAGTATCGGAGAGCCATGCATTTGCATGGATGGGTCTGGTTGACTGGAGTTATACCTGGACCTTACAGAAAACCACCGTGCGCAATAGAGAGCCAGAGCGCATGGAACAAGTCAGCGCTGAAAAGTGTGGGGGAGCGAATCTTCAATCTCCAAATCCTTAACAAACCACAAAAGAACGACAGTGCACTCGTAACTCTTTTGGTGTTCCGGGTGTGCATGGGCGGCGCTGATTGCTTACCATCAGTTTGCCGACCTAAGTTTCATAAAAAAATCACGGTTATTCGAGACGGGATAGGTGCGAGAACGCCGGCGTTCGCTTGGAGTTTGATCAAATCACCATCACGCACAGACCTTGAGAGATTTGTTCAAGGTTCGAGTGCCGTGTAATCGTTTGCAACAACACCGATAGTGTTGATAAGTATGACAGCCGCGTCGCGACATTGATAAGGGGTCATTGCCATCAGCTCCGGAGGTATCGCACTCGGAAATGATAACGGTGGTAATGTAAACAACCCACTAAAGGGGGCCTTGTCATTTTTTCTTGCTGGGGTAAAAAGAAAGGTCCTTGTGGGTACCGGTTTTTTTTATCGGTAACTAGCTATTCTCGCCCGGTTTCACCAGCTGCTCGACTCCATTTGGTCGTAGTGTGATGTTTTATAGCCTATAGCTTTAAGGAACATTGTAGCTACCTATCAGTAAAAGATTTTTGGCAATCCGACCAGCGGTTCCAAAGATTACCCCCTACATTCAAACTTACAATTTTTTCTCTTTGTGATATTTGACTGCACGGTTGGCGCGGTGGCTGGGCAACTGGCTGCCGCGCAACGTGTCGCGGGTTCGATTCCCGCACGGAACAACTCTTTGTGTGATCCACAGATTGTTGTTTTGGGTCTGGGTGTGATGTGCATGTGAAATTGTATGTTTGTAAATGCACCCACGACACAGGAGAAAATCCTAATATGGGGCAACGTTATACATTAAAAAAAAATGTATAGATATCATCAAATGACTTCTCTCGCCTTGGGTGGGTAGACTGACTAAAAACCACCCCCTTTCTTCTTCTGTACCCGGTACATTATTTAACCAGCCCTATTGGGCCCCATCTGTGATGGTCGGCTCTTTAAGTCCCGCTAGAAACTCTACGCGTCGCATGCAAAAAGAAAAAAATCATTTATTCCAACATAACCTCAAATGGTAATAGGTACTTTTGAAACGTCAAATTAGAGTAGTCTATCAGTCTGTTCGTCAGTGAAGATACGTGCTCGTTCCAAATTGTAGATTCGAATGGAGAAGAACGAGCAAGAAACTCCATGCTCCACGCTCTGGTCTAATTCTGGTCGGACGGTGAACTAAGTCTTGCTCGTCTGAATTTCTGTCAAGCTTATGAGTGATTCTTTCTGATAGAAATACTAGTCTATTTTTACATTATGACGGCGAAAATGATACACATATTTCAATATTGGTACTCACGAAACAAAATTGGAACATTTATACAACGTTGTTGCGTCACCAACGTAATATCCGCAGTAACCTAGTCTCAAAATACATTTATCCAGCTCTGTACAGGTTTAAAATGAACCCTAATCTTATTGAAATACGACAGTATACACCGCAAAAGGACACTTAAACCCAAAAGCCTTAGATAACAAAATTAGGCAGTACTTTTACGATCCAATAAGCTCTGCCTATATTGCCGGCCTTAACGTCGTCCTTGTTATTTTGAATTAATTTGCTATTTTGGCAATTGGTTGGGACACGTGATCTTGTTGTTGTAATTGTAACCTTGGTCAAATGTCTAACAAAAAATTCAAGGCAATAATAAAAGGGTGCAAAATATCTTTAAAACAATTACATGCTTACTTATTTAAAGGTTTGCGAAAATATATTATAAACTTTCTCCAAGTATAAGATCACCATCCTCACCAGCTATGGAGCTATAAAAGGTGTATAGCTTTCACGCAATAACACGTTATAGTAGGCCTACTGGCCTTTGCTGAGCAAAGGCCTCTTCTCACATGGATAAGGTTTGAGCCGGGCCACTTCGACATGTACATAAGATAACTTGCCATAGCTTCCACTCTCGGCAGCTATGGGTCGGAAGTCAAAAAGCTATTAGTTATAGGGTTCAAGTTTATCAGAGTTCTGCTGCCTAGACGCTGAAAT